TTAGAATTTACGTGTCGGAGTGTCGTGTCGTATCGTGTCATGTGTCCCGTGTCGGTATCGGTGCTACATAGGTAACAACCAAGTTGTGTTACTACCATGTTACTACCAATCAATCTCACCGTTAGATCGATTATGTGGATCCAACGGTTATATTTATTTTCATATTTGTATGGTTATGATTCCCCATATTTAAAGTGAAAGCATTAAATATGAGAAATCATAACTATACAAAGGTGAAAATAAATATAAAGTATTAAATATGGAAAATCATAACCATACAAAGATGGAAATAAATATAACCGTTCGATCAACATAATCGATCTAACTGTGAGATTGATTGGTAGTAATATGATAGTAACACAACTTGGTTGTTACAATATCCTTCTCCTATATATATATATATATATGAGATAGTTCTTTTGACTCGAGAGTAAGATTTTTAAGTCTTACTCTCTATCTCAGCCGTTGATGGACGAAAATCAACGGTTGTCATTTATAGTATAATTAATAATTAATTAATTAATATAACTTCCTAAATTATAACCATTGGATAGACAGAAATCAATGGCTAGGATGAGGAGTAAGACTTATAAGTCTTACTCTGGAGTCAAATGATCTGTATATATATATATATATATATATATATATATATAGGGAAAATATTTCTACGGCAACTTGAGATAAGTTTATCTCCGGCTATCCCAAACTACGTCGTTTTGTTTATTTATTTTCTTATATTAAATTGATTCACCTTTTAATGGTTATGATTCCTTTTTTTTCTCTCCCTTTATTACCATTGATCCATCTTTGTGCGGTTATGATTTAGTAGCCGGAGATAATTCTGGCAGCTTGAGAAACGATAAGCCATATATATATATATATAGAAACATGATCTTTTGACACCTCATCTGAGAGCCGTTAGATCAAAAAAGATCAACGACTATGATTTGTAAGCATGTGACACCATTGATCTTTTTTTATCTAATGGCTCTCAGATAGGTGTCAAATTTGAAATTTGACACTGATGTCAAAGGATACTGTCTCATATATATATATATATATATGAAAATACTCTGTCTAAACCAGATGAAGATAAGAATCTTAAAGACGAAGAATTTTTAGGATTAATTAATCAATTAACAATTCAAAAATTCTATATCCCAATCAAACTCAATGTAGGTAATTTTGACCTTGAAATTGAAGCTCTGTTTGACACAGGGGCAGATTCAAACTGCATTCAAGAAGGTCTAATTCCTACTAAATATTTTGAAGAGCTTGATTAAGAGGTTTGTAATTGGTAACTAACCGTGGAGTTCCACGCTCAATTTCAGATTGCTTATTGACATAGAAGGCAGAACAAGACCAAGGACTCTTGCTTTTCCTGATGAGACCTTTAGCAATGAGATCAGCAATTTCTTTTTGACAAAAGACAAGAAGTTCACCACTCATTTGAATAGGACGAGCTTTGGTTGGGATTTGCCTTTCATTAAAATCCTTTTCATAGGGAAGATCTACGATATGTTTTTTCCTTTGCCAAAAAGCATTCGGAAGATCAGAACAGATTGTATTTTGGATTTGTTCAAGCAAAACTTATATATATATGGAAAAAAAGGTGTATACAAAACTTCGCGAAGATAGTTATGAACGCCTAAGATCCTACTCTCTCTTTTTTTGGTACATTGCCAGGAGGTATCCCCATTCAACCTTCTCCGGGCACCATGCCCTCGGGGTACGGCCCGTTTGGGCTAGCCCCTCATTGTAACAGTGGGTGCACTAAGCTTCGCAACCGGAGAAAGGACGAGACTAATCCCCCAACCGAAGATTTTTGGCTTATCCTCTGGCCCTCAAAGATTTTCCAAGAAACTGCTTGAGGCAGGGTTTGATCCCTAAGATCCTACTTTAGAGCTTGTAAATTGAGTTTTGTTTATAAATAATAATATTTGATAAAATCATAAATGTGCTCTATTTAAACATAATTTTAGGGATATAATTATAAAGATAAAATACGAACAAATTTTTTCATATCATTATTTAAATATTTAAAAATACATTGAAAGCTTTTCTACACCAATTGTTTGGAAGTTATAGTACAAAGAAATAAAAGGATAAGGATTATGAAGTTTTCGTTTTTATATTACCCTTATCTCAAACACGTTAAAATTTTGTTATAAAAAAAAAAAAAAACACGTTAAAATTTAACTTTTATTAATCAATATAAGGTCTTAATATTTTATAAAATTCTATAATCTAGTGCAAATTAATTTTGTGATGTACCCTTCTGAATGAAAGACATAAGACTCATTCTTTCACTTTTGTTTAGGGTTAAAAATAAGGGTTTTATTTTTCTTATATTACATGAGACAAATTATTTGATGTAAAACACAAAAAAGTGGATGAGAGCTACTAAAAAAGAGAGAGAAAATAAAAAAGTGGATTCCACTCATTTTTGTGTGTGTTACCTGAGATAAATTGTCTCATGTAACATAAGAAAAATAAAACTCTAAGAATAAATTTGTCATTTTCATAATTATATTAATAAAATACTACATCATTTCACTTCATTTGGCAAAGATGGTGAAATGAGGAATACTATGGAGAGGAATAAATCCACATATATACTCTTATTACAATTTCGTAATGTAAATGAAAGTAAAAAAAAAAATACTTTTTATTAGATGAAATAATGATGAATAAGAACGTGGTATAAGCAAGCATGAAGGTTTGTGTAGTGTAAAAGCGTGAAGGGTAGAGGAGAAAAAGGAGTGGGGTGGGACCGGAGGCACGTAAAAGGTTAGGAAAAGAGTGAGGTGAAGGGTTGAGCCCACTGTCCAGACCGTAAAAGAGAGGGCCGCACGAGTCAGGGGAGCAGCTTGGCACAGCACCGGTTCGTACCCACAACTCAACTTTTCTTCTCATTACGAATCTTATTGTCCCCTTTGTGGAACCCACCACACCTTGTGTAATCCCTATCCCCACCCTCACTATGCTTTATTCTCTTCCTAACATACTATACTACTAGCTACTAACTCATTTAAATTTAATATTTATCATTATCACACTCCTTTTTCGATTCTCATTTGTCATTATATTATCCCTACCTTTCTATGTTTTCTTAATCACTTGTGCACATCAACTACTTTAATCTCATTTATGATGCCAAATTAAGTACTTCCACACATCAACCTGCGGGTATATATATATATATATATATATTCTTACACCGGTGTAAGAGTTAGAAATCTTACACTCAATCTTGACTATTGATTCACTTGTATTCAATGGTTCACATTAATAAAAAATTAGAGCCTTCAGATATAAGTGGAATCAACGAACAAGATTAAAAGTGTAACTTACACTGATGTAAAATGATCCTAACCCATATTTATTTATTTATTTAGTTCAAAGTCTTCACATCCACCATTTAAATATTTAGTTCGAAGTACTCACTAAAAAATACCTTTATTTTGTTTTTTATTATTAAAGGGAGAATATACTTATAAAAACTATTTATTTAAGGTATGTGCACAATCTATACCACTAAAAAAAAAAAGTTAAATCATTGACTTTTGTGGTCGATGTGATCACAGCTTATGCTAAGTTATTGGAAACTGTAAAGAGAGTGCGTAAGTTTGTGCTTCTTCAAAAGTTTGATTCATGTTGGTATGGAAATTTCGTTGAACTTTCATGGTTTGCTCAATACGTACGTAGTGGTGATGAACAGAAGTTCTCTTGTCAGTAAAAGAAAAGCTAATGATTTGAGAAAGCAACCACACGTAAAGTTTGTTCCATGCTGAGTCATTCCATCCTATTTCTCAACCATGTGATTCTGGATTCATTAACTGATTTTTTTAAAGTCGAATACCAAGGCTAGTAATTACTAATACATAAATAAAAATTTCATTAATTAATTTGAACTTGATGTTATTGAGTTTTATTTGTTGCTTGGATCGGAACATTTAACCAAGAGATGGTGTGGGATTTGAGGACACAAAATATTATAGAAAAAGTTGAAAGTTATAAAAGGGATGGACCCAAGAAAATTAATTTAAGTTGAGGCTTGATCTTGTCTGATGTTTCCTTAGCACGAGGACCATTGTCTGAAAAATTGACTAATCACATTGGATTTTGAAGGTGTGGACTACATGATAATTTATGCATATATGCTACTATTTTATACGGTTCTTGAGTTTTGAAGCTCTCGGGTCTCGGCTATGCGTCCTGCTCACCCTGTATCAGCAAGTATCAACCTTTTTTATAATTTTAATTTTTCATGTCATTTGAAAGCTTGCCACATGATTTCTTCATATTTAATTTTTGGGTTTTGCATGCTCACGACAAAAGTTGAGTTTTCTATAGATATAACTATATTTGTACTGCAATATCTCTGCAGTGTGACAAGATGATTATCCTACAACATAATATTTGTTTTTTCCTTACTTTTTATATAGACACCTGCAATAGTGTCACCGGAAATTAGAGTTGAGACAAACATTATTATTTCAAGTTAATTTTTGATTAGTTACTCATTTATCGTCCGTGACCACCATGCATAAGAGAAAATCATATCACGGGCCAAGAAGCAAAGAGTTAGAACGTTAATTAATTGCAATGATACTCACCTAATTCTGAGAAAAAGAGGTCTCTGTGAGTATAAAATGCAAAGTTAATATATGCACCATAATTCGCCAGATGAACTACAAAACATTGGACTCTACAAACATAGAAAACATCATTAAATATAATTGTTCAATCCAAATCTCAGCGAGGCCTTTGCTTTTCCTCTCAAGGCATTATTGGGAAATGAAAACATTGAAGGAAGTGAAGAAGAAAGATGCTGCTGCATATAATTAGTTTAAGCACCCTAACGAACTAAACCCCAAATAACATCTATGTAAGTTTCAGATACTCTTGACATCTGAAAAAGAAGATCTGCTCAATAATTCTGATAGTTGAGAACAGATCTAAGCTCTTTCACATGTTAGCTGCACCTAATTTTACACATAATGCAATTCTATAAGAAAAAAAGTAACAATTACTAGCATGACATATATAGTTACCCCTTTATGTTACAATCTTATAATGATATATATAGAGAGAAACTCAGTGCTCTCCACGTTCATGCCAACACAAAAGCATAGCAATGCAACGACGAAGAATGTAGAATTTTGCACGCTGCTTCTTGACAACGTGACTGCACTTCTGGCCAAAAGACTTGCAAGGATCACAAACTTGTTGATGCTGCCGTTGGTGACAACTATTTTGGCTTGTGTTTCCTTCCTTCACTGCCATGAATGATTTTCTGGCAACTTGTGTACTGCTCCTGATTTGCCACCATATAGCAGTAAATCTAGTGGTTGAAACATGGTAGCTTTGGGTTCAACTAGGTATATATATATATATATAGCAGAGAAAACATTTATTTGGGGCAGGGAGCTAGTAATTCTGGGTCTTCTAGATCAAGTATGGACTGTTACTATTGCAAACCACCAGTTGTCAGAAGCATATGAAAATAGAATGGGCCAAGGATGCTATATATTTTACCCTCCTAGGTACTATTAATTTCCTTCCAATGTCAAGGATTTTTATTTGGTGGGAGAGCGGTAAGTTAAAAGGAGAAATTACCATTGTACTTTTGAAGTATGTTAAAAAATTTCTTTCGAAATATTAGATTTAAGACAAGTACTATATAATGTTAAATTTGACAATAATATATCCCTTATTTTTCTCATTTCTCGGATTAAAAGCTAACGTTTCGTTCAGCACTAACCCTTTTGCCTACTTAAGAGGACACAAGTGCTGGCCCAGCCTAAGTGTATGCTTCATTCATATATGCAATAAGAAGGACAGAGCTAGCGGAAACCACATATTTATTGTGCCTATTCAGTCCCTAAGAATTGTTTTACGTGATTAAAATCTAGTGGATGTAAGCATAATAGAGTTTTTGTTTTTCTTCTTGTTGCAATATTGTTTGTGGTAACCATGACATGAAATTTCATTGATGAAGGATATATTTATGCAATGTCGGGTAGGTCATTCATTGGTCACACTTGCAGCATAAAGTCTAACGCGTGCATAACTGTTCATCTTTTGGCATCTTCAGATTCCTTCTTTTTTCTTCTACTAATTTCTTTTTGTGAGAATATAAAGTAAAAAAAGATAGAAGAGCTTGGTGAGTTTCGACCGGTTGATAGCTTATACCCCGATTAAAAACATCACATCTGTTATGGAATATTTTTATATCTTAACCACCTACCCAAGGATCCTTTAAAGGATAATTCTCCAATTATCCTAACAATATAAAACAGTAAGGCAGCTAAGGATAGAGTCCTTATCCCAACAGAAAGGAAGTTAAATCCTACTACAACTGGGAGATCTACACAAGCCTAAGAGGTAACTCTTATAAATAAGAGGTTAAAGACCCCAGGTATACACTTTGAACGTATTTACCATTACTGTCAATATTGTGCACACTTAATTAGCCACGTTCATTTAGCTACACTTGAAACGTAGCAAATCATGTATCATTTTTTTGAAAATTAGCCACGTTTTGGTCGTAGCCAGAGAACCGTAGCTATTTGGGCACTAGCTGAATTTTTTAGCACCGGCTAACATGCCATGCTGGCTCCGCCACTGGTGCACACACTCACGTTTTGGCTATAAGCCTATTGCTTGTGCGCAGTGATTGGGACATCGGCTATAAGCCTAGTATACGTCTGATTATACAGTATCTCTGAGCGCATACCATACGATATAGCAATACGGTCTTTCCAGGACCGAACAACATCCAATGTACTGTTTTTGCTAAAAGAGAGAATAAGATGGTGGAACAAAAAAGTCAGATGCACAAGTTGAGCTTCTGTTTTGTTTCGTGACATTAACATGTTGATTAAGCAGAGGTTTCCTTCACGGGACCTATCTAGTGTTAACCCTGTTTATGGTAACCTTTTTTGGGTTTGAGGATACCTTTTCATTTTCAATGAGGGGTCTTCAACTCTTCATCTAGTATAATCTAACTTAATTAAACTTAATGATCACCACCATCTTTAGGAAAGATTTACATATTCCCCTTTTATGGAGATTAAGGTAAGTCATAGTTCTGGTTAAAGATACAAGAAAATACACCAAGTAGAACATTTTACAAACCACTTGTACATTTCCTTTCACATATATCATTTTGTCATTTGAGTGGTGTTTTTACGCGTCACTTAATATTACATCATGTAGTTTCTTATACCAGATTAGCGATTAACAGGGTATAATTCGTGTTGTGCTGCTTGTGCATGCATCGTTTCTTACTAATAATTTGCTTTTCTTATGAGAAAAGTGACTCATGCAAACAGTTGCACACTAATTGGTGTGAAAAAATTGCTTAGTATATAAAATTTTAAGGTCGATTTAGTCAAAGTTTAAATAATTATAGTAATATAACTTAAACTTTACCATATGCATTCTGATCGGAACTTATTCAAAATGTCAATATAAAGTACATGTAATATTCCTGTAAGAGATGCAAAGACATCAATTTTATATGAGGATGCATCCAAGCTTCTTTTGATAGAAGACCTAGAATAATTGATTTGGATAACAAATTAAGATTGAGCAAAATTGGATTTCAAACAAATATATAAAATATTCTAGGCATGCATTTTTTCACAAAGGAATAATGGGAGGGAGTAATAATAGAGATTCTTGAGCAAGCATATTGAATGACTTCACCAAAGAAGCCCAGCATCATTAGGAGGAGGAGGAATTCTATGGCTTCCAATCTGAGGACTAACAATTACCTGCCCCATGTGGAATCTATGAAGCTTCTGCCATATGTGGTAACAGAGGCACCACCACTCACAGGAACAGAGACTGGAATTATTATGCCATTGGTGTCAAAATATAAAAATAAAATAAAAAATAATTTACTTAATTTCTCAGCACGGAAACTGATAATCATAATAAATGCATACTTGGTGAAATAGAGACTTACTGTAAATTTTAATGGGAACAAAATTCAAGCCCCACAAAGAATTTGAGAAATGTTGCAAGATAATGTAGTTTAGTTCAGTTCTTATGTTCATAAGGTTGAACAATTTCCTTTATCCTGAAAGGGTGAAGCAGAGAAGCCAGAGAGATACTTCCTCAGTAATTTACGTATTCTTATTTGAAAGCACAGACGTGCCATTCGGCAATCAGCTTTTTTCTTCTTAATCATTGCACTCAACCCTATATTCTCGCTAGTCAATATTTAATGCAGAGTAGATATTTTATATTTTAAAAAGCCCTGACATTTTAATTTGCATGAGAGAGAAAAAGGGTAAAAAAAAAAAACTTCAAAGTTGTTCTGTTTGTCGTACTTTGGGCAACGTTTTTATCAATCTCTCCTTAGATTAGTCTTTTATTGATGACAATGATGTTTAGTGTTTCATATTTTATAGAGTGATGGTTAGAAGAGCACACGAATTCAGGCTAATAATAATCGAACTTTCATTAGAATCTTAGAAAGAAAAAGCGGAAGCATAACATTGCGAACAGGTGTACTTGTATATGATGTCAAAATGGGACTGAACTGAATGCATCATTAGCTTGATTTTACAGTCCCTAAAGCCTTTCTCGCCCCTCCTGTTCCACTTATTAACACATAAAGCAGGCACAACAAACTTGATGTCATATTCCCCCATCAAATTTGTGTTTCTATACAGATATGGACCTCTGATGACATTCAATATTCTTGGTCAAGAATCTCATTATTACTCCCTCCCACTTATTCCTTTGTGAATAAATGCATGACATACAATATTTTATATATTAGTTTGAAATCCACTATCCTCTTAGTTAAAGTATAACAAAGGTGGACACAGTTGGCAAAGGGTTTGGTCCATACCCCTCAAGGGCGTGGGTTCAAACTCCGCTGACCGATGTGAGGACTTTTTTGGTGGGTGATATATAATCCCTCCCAGAAATCCTCAAAGAGGTTGGGGGGTCTTCCCTGACCCTAGTTGAATACCGGTACTTAACCCCACTTAAACTTTCTTGTATTAAAAAAAAAAAAAAAAAGTATAACATAGCTACCTAATGGATGCGGGCTGCATTAGTTAAAAAAGTGATTGTTTGAATCCCACGATTGAAAGTATAATCCTCATAATATAATTAAAATGATTTTATAGTCATTTATTAATTAATCAAAACTTTTAACATAACCTTGGTGTCGACTCATCTATACAAGCAAGTCTACATATGCATCAAGTCCTTGACTTACAAGGCTCTGCTTGAGCTTGTCCAATGCTCGGTTCTGCAACTGTCGGACCCTCTCCTTAGTCAAACCAAATATGTTGCCAATTTCTTCCAAGGATTTCTCGTAGCCATCCTCAATACCAAATCTTAGCCTGATTATCCTTCTATCTCTTGGGCTTAAGATATTTAAGAGGTTGCGCGCATGCTTCCTCATTAGTTGTTTTCCAACACTCACATCTGGGATCTCAATTGAAGAGTCTGCAGTAATTTCCTGGAATTATAATAAAATTGTGGTTAATTTGGAATATTTTGTCATATTATGTTGCCCAAAAAAAATACAGGAAAACATGAATAAGAATTTTAGAAGGTCAGCAGTCTCTATCTATAAGTCAACAAAAGCAGGCATACCATAGAGAGGTACGAATTAACACATCAAGATTTAAATGAACCAAATTCGGTAAGGAACTGAATAGACTTTAGCGACTTGAGCCCGATTACTACTCATAAGTCCTAACATATTTAGCTAGGGATGTTCATGTAGTCAGTCTAGTTCTTCGGCCTGAGGATCAACCTCAAACCAAATTCACAGTTCACAAACCACAGTTCATAAGTATATAATGCAAATATATGACATTATGTGAGAAAAATATGTGTATATGTATTGATTCATTTTACTCCCAAACCCTAAACCCAAACAATCAGTAAGGAAACCAAACCAAACAACCTGGTTTCATTTAACTATTTTATTCAGTTTGGTTAATACCCATGTTTAGGTAGTATGCATGCTTCCCGGGCTTATCTCCTACTAAATAGTTGGAATATGATCTACCATCTCCTCCATACCCTATAAAACCTTTAGGCTGGTGGTGGTGGTTCGCTTCCATCATACACAACAGAATGCAATAACTCAGCAAATTTGAGATTATTCTTGCAGTCAATTACATATTGGCCTTTTTCGCAATTAGATTTCCACCAAATTGATTTTATAATTATCAGCGCAAGCAAAAGACTCGGGACAAACACACAGCAATTTAAAATAGGAAGCTGAATAACCTTTGACTGTTGTAAACAATCTGTATATACATACAGAGGTTTGCTTTTCACTGTTTTCAATTTACAGATTTGATAAATTATATCATAGCATGGGGGGAAATCATATTTACTTGAAGGCCCTACCTGAAAAGTTGTATCTTGGTCTGCCCACACACTTTGCTGCATCGAAAGAGGAAATCTTGCAGAAAATAGCAAATTTTCCAACTTGTCTACTGAAATTCCTACCCTTCTTGCTAATTCTTCTTTGGTGGGGCGACGATTTCCTTCTTGAATGTACAATTTCTTTGCTTCCATGACCTTGCCCAAAAGGGTATATACATTCTCCTGGAGATAATAAATTGGTTCCATGTTACCAAAATAGAATTGATGCTTGCTATATAAATACCATACAAAAAAGGGCAGCTAGGTGTAAAGCTCTGGCTATGCGCAGCTTTGTAAATAACATACTATTTAAAAAATTGAATAATGCAATAGTAACATCATTTTGTTCGTAGTCAACATACAATAATTCCAAGAATATTGACACATAGAAGGAGAAGGCCTAAATTTAGCTAACTAGAATGTAAAGAAATAAACAAATTGTTTTACCGGCAGACGGATTGTCTTGGAATGTAGAAATATGGCCCTCCTTATTGTCTGTCTTATCCACCAATATGCATAAGTACCAAACCGGCAACCAGCTTGGGGTTTAAACCTGTCAACGCTCTTCATAAGACCCATACTTCCCTCCTACAATAGCACCAGAAAAGAAATGTAAAAGATGTAGCTGCTACTAACATTATTAGGATAATGATTGCAACAGTTCTCAAAAGAAGTAAGACACCTTTAGGCTTTAACTGAAGCTTTTTTCCCTAATTGCAGCTCCAACTTTAGCCAAACATATATTTTGGAGTTTTTCTTTTTTCAGAAATAATGTAGAGCACATACATGGCAAACTAAGTATTAATAAATAATAATAACTACACAAGTGTAAGGAAATATAAAAATAGACTTTGGTAGTGCAGAAACAGATACTTTTAATTCCTCGGACGCTACCTGTAATAAGTCCTGAAGGCTGAGACCACGCCCCTGATAATATTTAGCAATGTGAACTACCATACGCAAATTGGCATTAATCAGCTTTTCTTTACTTCTGTTACCAAAATGAAGCTGCGTCTGCAGGGCATGACAGCTAAGGCCCACACCATCAGCCCATTCAGCCAAAGTTGGTTCCCGCCCAAACTGAGATTGAAGGCTGATCTTTACTTCTTCCAATCTCAACAAATCCTGTTACATACTCCACATTAGGGAAAAAGAAGATCCTTAATAGAGCACACTATGCATTTAAAGAAAATGGAACTCTGAGTGACACCTGTAGCTGAGCAATCAATTGAGACTCTTCTTCAAGAGTCAAAAGTTGCTTTGTTTCGGGACCCCACAAGAACAAGCGCAGGGGGTCATTTTGATCAAACCTTTCTTTTATCTTCTTTTCTATATGTAACCTTCCCTGTACATCGGACTTTCTTGCAAGGTAACTTTCTTCGTCAATAACTTTTGACTTCGATACTTTTCTCTGTTTAGATCGTCTTTCTATAAGCCGTGTTGATCTCACAAATTTATTCTTTCCAGCTGAAGAGTCAACCAAACTTGTGGAGGCCGGACTGAATGGCATATTTTAGGCATTATTCTCATAACAATTATCCTATAAACAGAAAAAACAAATTTAGGATGTCAAAGTCAACGACAATGATAGAACGAACCTAAAAGGAAGTGGATGGTCATCATCAGCTTTAGTCGATTTCAACTCTTCTGCTACTGAAGCTGCTTGTTCTGAGGCTGACAAAGCTTGCTTAGCAAGAGAAACTACATTCCATCGCAGACCATCTGCAGGCCTTTCTGAATCAACAGCTGCAGGTTGCGGAGTTGAAGAAGCAGCAATTTCCCCTGTTGGGGAAGAAGTCAATCTGCAATAGACCATATGAACCCTATAAAGAAACAACTTTGGATGTACGAGAATTTAAATCAGCAATTACAACTGATAAAATTAACACGAGAGTAGAATTCGATTTATCTTACAAGTTCTGTAAATGAGACCGGAGATGCAACTGCTGCATGAAGTCACGCACTAACAAATCAGCATTGCCCATGTTATTTTTTACCTGAACTGAGGCCATATCCATCTGCCTTGCATTTAATGTTGCCTTTAGTAAAACAAAGGGTAGATGAATTGATAACATGTACAAAAAAAAGGGATCATTACATACGAGAAAACTAAAAGTTGGTCTCAGAAAATGTATAAAGGATCTAATAATAAGCAGTTAAAGAAGCCTGAGTTTTGATATATGAACAAAATTCGAACCTGGGATGTCTTGTCTTCCTTATACATGTGAAGTAGAGGCCTATACTCATCGCGCTGCTCTTGTAAGAGAACCGAGGTAGGAAAATGCTGGGCTGCAAAACTAGAAGACCAAGAGACCACTGCTGGAGCAGCTTGTTCACGAAGCATCAGAACTGCACAAGGTAACACCTTTAACACTCAGAAAAACCAACCATTCGAAAAATTAAGAAAAATTCAGTTGAAAACTAGGGAGAAAATGAAGAAAATCCAGAAAATTGCAAAGAGAATTAAACAGAATTGGGGAAATACAAACAGTGAAAGGGAGCAAAGCAAAGCAATGTATCTTGGCATACATAATAGCTTGATACATTTATGATTTTCCATCTCTAAAACCCTTAATTCAAACTATCTTGTGCTAGCAAGACCACACTCAACAACAGTTATTATTATTAAATAATTTCCTAAGATGAAAGTAGGTTAGGGGAAACGAACATTGAAAAGCAGAGCCATTTATGAATTGAATATCTTTCATTAGAAACTAAGGAACAAAAAATAACTCAATTTAAAATAAATAATAAAACATACAGCTGCTAAATTTAAAAAGAAAAAGAAAAAAAAAATTGAGTAGTGGTTGTAATAAGTGCACCTGAAGAGGAAGAAGGAAACTGTGGAGATGAACAAAACATACTCATAAGCGTTCCTCAGTAACTACTGTATTATCTTTCTCTATACTGTACAATAGTTTCCAGTTTCCAGTTTCCACGGAGGAGGAGGAGTTGCAGAAACCAAAGGTTTTTTGTATTTTCTAGTATCTGTTTACGCTACTCCACACCTCAAGATTTTTTTCAACTACTTTAACTCCAAACCTCTCTTCAACCCTTGAAACCCTCCTTATCACTTCCACAAGTTTTTGTTTGGGCAACCTCACAAAAAGAAAAAAGAAAAAAGAAAAAAATCTTCTTTCCATATAATAGGATTTTTATTTATAATTATAATTTATTTTAAAATTATATTATTCATTATTTTAATTAGTTCATCTTTCAAATTAATGACATCATTTTGATGTTTTTGATATAACTTTATCTTTTACGATCGAAGAAACATTAAACTCTTCATAATTATAGGATAATAATTTAGTGATGTAGGAGATAAAAAAAAATTATATATATATATATATAAGATAAAATTATCTTATATAATATGAGAAACATTAATTTCAATAATTTAATATAATAGTTAAATAAAAAGTAAAAACAATAGTATGACACTATAAATAAATATTAATTAGAGAAGTATATTCTTACTATAAAAAAAATCATTATTTGTCCACTGTATATTTAATTACTGTTGTATCAACATTTTTCTTTTTTTAAAAAACTTTTCAACATTCTCTCTTTGATTCAATAATAATTAAATGTGTAATGAATTAGTAGTGAATTTTTTTGTTATAAGAATATCCCCTCTATTAATTAATATGAGTGCATTACCCTTATCTAAACTTTTTTTTTCTATTTAATATATTTGTTAGTTTTCTGCAATGCACTGCATTCTATTTTCAAATACTGAAAGTGTATCAAACAAATATAATCCAATCGTGAAAAGATATTCTTTCCCTCCACCGACTGGGTCACCCAGCCTTGTCTTTTTTTCGGTCAAATACAACTTCGGATCCTAAAGCCCAATTTGAATTGGCCCAATTTGTCGTATTGTAAAAGACCGGCAATCAGCCAGGTATTTTCTTTTTTGAACTTTGCATTATTTCATTTTATAAAGTTTCATAATATTCTTTTATATAATTTAAATATTTATATACTAACATGTTAAGAAAATAGTATAGTAGTTTTTATTACAAATATTTCCCCTTAATTGTTTCCTATTTAAATTTAGAGTGATTTACTTTGGTATCGCGTGATTTACACTAAAAATAATAATATATAAATATGTTATAATTGACTAAAAATAATTATCAATGTTATAGTTTCAAAATAGAAAAAAGTACAGTGTTTTAAGAAAATTTATGTTATAAGAAAAGAAGTTCTGAAAAGAATTTTTTTTTGCAAAATTCCAAAATGATATTATTTTGAAATTATAAATGATAATTGTATTTAATAAAAAAATTTCCTTTCAAAATATTCAAAATTATTTTTCTTGGGCCAGTTTTACGGTAAAAAGAGAAATTACTTTGGGTGTTCGTAACAAAAAAATTAGAGGAATAATATCAATTTAATATTAATACTTCCTAAATAGTAGCTTATGGTAGTTTTGGACTTCTCCTTTTTCTAAACTTAAATATCCCTACAAAGTTGAATGCATTATAATTTGTATATGAATCCATGCTGAATTTAAAATTTAGCAACGACAAATTAAATTCAAGGATATATCCACAACCCGCATGAATACTGTGTGAATAGATAGACAAGCTAGAAGCATTTATGGAATAATGATGTTTCTACGAAACTAACAGAATTTTATGCACTACTCGTTATACTTTTTTTTTTTCCATGAAAAAAGAAAGTAGAAAATAAAAAACGTCAATTTTCCAATCTCTTTACTTTGTTTTTTCATCGTAAAATTCGTCGTGAAAAATTGATGCAAAAATACCATCACTCACAGACATGACCGAGTGAAAATTGTATTTATCTCTCTATTAACAGAATTTCAATTGGCTGGGGATGTTAAAGTCAATTACAAACTACCAACGCAATGAAATCTCTATTAACGAGCTTGTTTCTGCAAATGCAAAATTTGTATAAGTACCTCCTCGAGGGTAGAGTCGTAATGCACCGCTGCCCAAACTGCAATTCTGCAATAAACGGACACATTAGCCAAATAGATAATAGGACTAAAAATAAAGAAAAATAAAGAAAACCAAAATATAAAACAATTAATACCAAAAAAAGGGCAAAGCTAACAATGGCCCAAACATCACACGAGTTCAATTATATTTTATGAAACAAAATAACGATCAACCGTATGGAAAATTTATTCAAACAATTCCCACAATTATTTTCCGGATTTCCACTACAAAAGAAACAGATACCAAAAGCTACAGAATCAGTCAGAACTATTACCTTGGAAAACAAGGCACCATTGTTTTGGAAAAAAAATATGAAACCATTCATTTACTTACATTTAACCCTAAAGGCTTTTTTTTTTATTTTTTTTACTGAGTATTAAGTCTTTAAAATTAAATTAAAATGATGGTTTTATCATCAAGAGTTAGGACAGAATGGAAAGAATTTATTAGCAATGTGAAAAGATAGATCATTCTTTACTTGTTCCAAATAATCCTTTTTTTAATTCTCGTTCCCTATATTTATTTATTTTTCTCTTTAATTTATTTATTTTTCTCTTTAATTTACTTATTTTTTCCTCTAATTTAATAAAGTATTACCCCCAGCCAGTTTAGGATAAAAATGTTGTTAATATTAGATATATTTAGTAATGTATTATCTTATTTTTCATTTTATTTTTCTTCATTTTACTCAATTTTTTTATTTCTTATTTGAATTTATCACCGCCACCTCAACTAATTGGAGATAAAAATGCTATTGATGTAGATATGTATAGGAACATGATCAATTTAATTGATGTAATGTACGTATATATATATATATAACTCTGGTTCATCCTCAGTTAGCATGACTGAGTGTAAGTTTTCCTTTAAAAGCTCGATCTAGTTACTGCATTTGTACAGCCAAGTAAGAGGAACTGCAAAACGTTGGTGTCTACTCATCTATACAAGCAAGTCTATATATGCATCAAGTCCTTGACTGACAAGGCTCTGCTTGAGCTTGTCCAATGCTCGGTGATGCAAATGTTGGACCCTCTCCCTAGACACCCCAAATATGTGGCCAATTTCTTCAAAAGATTTCTCGTAGCCACCATCAATACCAAATCTGAGCCTGATTATCTTTCTTTCTCTTGGGCTTAAGATATTTAGGAGGTTGCGCACATGCCTCCTCATTTGCTGTTTCGCAACACTCACATCCGGGATCTCAATTGCAGAGTCTGCAGTAGTCTCCTGCAATAATAATAAAATAAAATTTTTGGTTAAATTGGTATATTTATAATATGGAAAAAGTGTGTGTCATTTTAAAGGATGTAAAGTTGTGTCATTTTAAGAGAGAGAGAGATAGATAAAAGAGGAGAGAAAGTTGACAAAAAAAAAAAGGTGTGGGTCTCACCTCTTTGTGAGAGTGAAAGGATATAAGTTGTGTCATTTAAAAGAATAAACACTTTTCCCTTATAATATTATGTTGTCCAAGGAAAACAGTTCTGACCATACCCAACATACTCCAACATTGGGAGACCAGCTTGACAATAACTTAAATCAAGTACTGGAATTGCATTGCAGGGCTACTAACACACAAGCTCAACATGAATAAGATTTTGTAATATTCCAGACCCTACCCCCACCTGACCGGGGCCAAATGAATAGCCACTTCAATAAATACAAGAGAATTTCAGACTGTTGGTAGTCCCTATAAGTCAACCAAAGCAGGCATAGCATAGAGAGGTGCAAATTAACACATCAAGATTCAATTATTTTATTTGGTTAGGTTGATATCCCTATGTTTAAGTTGTTACGGCTCTGGATTCTTGAAAGGTAGAAATTGCAGTAACGGTATTTGAAAATAAGGAAAAGATGATAAAAGGGGAGAAAAGAATGATATTATTGATGACAGAACAAAGAACAAATACAAGAGGAATAGCCTCTTCACAAAGGACACTCCCTTTCCTCTAAGAAATTCTCAGTCTAACTCAAAATTGATCAAAAGCTACTCCAAAAGGAGGGTAATCTCCTTTATATAACCCACATGAGGAAATATAAAAGGAAATATAGCCTCGACTAGCATAACTTTCATATTAACTACCCTGTGCTCCTCCTAACTGCCCTCAACAGAACTAACCCCTGACTAGGGTATATTCCTGAGGGAATGTTGTAGCTTGCCTCTCAAGCCTAATGCTAGATGTAACATTGGTAGAATGCTATGTTTGCCAGGCTTATCTCCTACTGAATTGTTGGAATATAATCTACCACCTCCTCTATACCCTGCAAAACCTTTAGGCTGCTGCTGCTGATTCGCTTCCATCACACACAACAGAATGCAATAACTAAGAAAATTTGAGATGATTCTGGCAGGGAATCACGTTTTGGCCTTTTTCGCAGTTCGATTTCTACCAATTTGTTTTTAAAAGTAAAAGCCAAGGTACAAACGCACACCAAGTTAAAATGGGAATCTGAATAACCTTTGGCTGTTCTAAACAATCTATGTATAGATACAGAGCTTTCCTTTTCACTGTTCTAAATTTATAGATCTAATATATTATATCATAGCAGGGGTGGAAATCATATTTACTTTAAAGCCTTACCTGGAAAGTTGTACCTCGGTCCGCCCACAAAGTTTGCTGCATCGAACGTGGAATTCTTGCAGAAAATAGCAAATTTTCCATCTTGGCTACTGTAATTCCTACCCTTCCAGCTAATTCTTCTTTGGTGGGGTAAAGATTTCCTTCTTCAATGAACAATTTCTTTGCTTCCATGACCTTGCCCAAAAGGGTATATAAATTCTCCTGGAGATAATACAATGATTCCATGTTACACAAATAGAATTAATGCTTGCTTTATAAATAACTTACTATTAGAAAAATTGAGTAATGAGATTGAAACATAATTTTGTTCTTTGTCAACATACAACAATTTCACCTACTGATACTTCACAAGGAGGAAGCCTAAATTTAGCTAATAGATAGTAAAGAATACTGACAGTTCATGAATACTGACAAATTGTTTCTGCGGCAGACGGATTGTCTTCGAATGTAGAAATATGCCCTTCCTTATTGATTGCCTTATCCACCAATATGCATAAGTACCAAACCGGCAACCATGTTGGGGTTTAAACTTTTCGACACACTTCACAAGTCCCATAGTTCCCTCCTACATAAGCACCAGAAAAGAAATGTAAAAGATGTAGCTGCTACATAGCATTATTAACATAATGGTTGCAACCCGTTCTCAAATGTAGTAATAGAGATCCTTCAACTGAAGCTTTTTTCCCCAATTGCAGCTCCAACTTTAGCCAATCATTCATTTTGGGGTTTTCCTTTTTTCAGAAATAGTGCACAATACATACATGGCAAACTAAGTATTAATAATAAGTATGCAAGAGTAGGGAAATATAAATAGATTATGGTAGTGCGGAAACAGATACTTTTAATTCCTCGGACGCTACCTGTAATAAGTCCTGAAGGCTGAGACCACGCCCCTGATAATGTTTAGCAATGTGAAATACCATGCGTAAATTGGCATGAATCAGCTTTTCTTTGCTTCTGTTACCACAATGAAGCTGTGTCTGCAGGGCATGACAGCTAAGACCCACACCATCAGCCCATTCAGCCAAAGTTGGTTCCCGCCCAAACTGAGATTGAAGCTTGATCTTTACTTCTTCCAATCTCAACAAATCCTGTTACATACTCCACATTATGGTAAAAGAATATCCTTAATAGAGCATACCATGCATTGAAAGAAATATGGAATTTCAAGTGATACCTGTAGCTGAGCAATCAATTGAGACTCTTCTTCACGAGTCAAAAGTTGCTTTGTTTCGGGACCCCAGAAGAACAAGCGCAGGGGGTCATTTTGATCAAACCCTTCTTTTATCTTCTTGCCTACATGTAACCTTCCCTGTACATTGGACTTTCTTGCAAGATAACTTTCTTCATCACGAACTTTTGAGTTTGATACTTTTCTCTGTTTAGATCGTTTTTCTTTAGGTCGTGTTGATCTCACAATTTTATTCTTTCCAGGTGAAGAGTAATCCAAACTTGTGGAGGCCAGACTGAATGACATATTTTAGGCATTATTCTCATAACAATTATCCTATAAACAGGAAAAACAAATTAAGGTTGTCAAAGTCAACCACAAAGATAGAACTAACCCAAAAGGAAGTGGACGATCATGATCAGCTTTAATCAATTTCAACTCTTCAGCTATTGAAACTGCTTGTTCTGAGGCTGACAAAGCTTGCTTAGCAAGAGAAACTGCATTCCATTGCAGACCATCTGCAGGCCTCTCTGAATCAAAAGCTACAGGTTGCGGAGTTGAAGAAGCAGCAATTTCCTCTACTGGTGAAGAAGTCAATCTGCAATAGACCGTATATGAACCCTATAAAGAGACAAATTTGGATGTGCGAGAATTTAAATTAGCATTTACAACTGATAAAATCAACGCAGGAATAGAATTCAATTTCTCTTACAAGTTATGTAAATGAGACTGGAGACGCAACTGCTGCACAAAGTCATGCACTAACTGATCAGCATTGCCAATGTTACATTTTTCATGAACCGGGGTCATAACCATCTGCCTTGTATTTAATGTTGCCTTTAGTAAAACAAAGGGGAGATGAATTGACAGCTTGTACTAAAAAATGGGATCATTACATACGACAAAACTGAAAGTTGGTCTCAAAAATGTATAAAGGATCTCATTATATGCAGCATTTAAAGAAGCCAAAGTTTGATGAAGTTTGTATATGAACAGAATTTGAACCTGGGATGTCTTGTCTTCCTTATCCATGTGAAGTAGAGGCCTATACTCATCACGTTGCTCTTGTAAAAGAACCGATGTAGGAAAATGCTGGTCTGCAAAACTAGAAGACCAAAAGACAACTGCTGGAGCAGCTTGCTCACGAAGCATCAGAGCTGCACAAGGTCACACCTTTACAACTCAGACAAACAGGTGAAAAACCAACCATTCGAAAAATGAAGAAAAATTCAATTGAAAACTTGGGAGAAAATGAAAATCCAGAAAATTGGAAAGAGAATTAAACAGAATTTGGGAAAATATAAAGAGTAAAAAGGAACAATCTATCTTAGCATTAATAATAGCCTAATAATTTAAACTATACGCTTAACAGATATTATTATATAAGTTCTTATCATCGAAGTAGGTTAGGGGAAATGAAAATTGAAAAACAGAGCCATTTATGAATTGAATAACTGTCAAGGAATATAAAATCACTCAATTTATAACATGTACGTACTAAATGAAAAACAAATTAAAAAAAAATATATTGAATTGTTGTAGTAAGCGCACCTGAATATGAAGGTAGAGCTCTTGAAGGAAACGGTGGAGACGAACAAACCATGGTCTTAGCCTCCCTCACTAACTCTATTCTATTTCTCTATGTGTAGAATAATTTCAAATTTCCACGGAGGAATTGCATATATATATATATATATATATATATATATATATATATATATATATATATAGGGGCAGGATATTCTTACACCGGTGTAAGAGTTAGAAGTCTTACACTCAATCTTGACCATTGATCCACTTGTATCCAATGACTCACGTTACTAAAAATTGTGAGCCCTTAGATATAAGTGGGATTAACGGAAAAGATTAAGAGTGTAACTTACACTGGTGTAAAATGATCCTGATCCTATATATATATGGGTTTTCGTTTTATTCTTTAAAATAACACAACAAACTTTCCTACACTCACAACATTTTGTGGGGCCCACACTTTTTAAAACGAAAAAATAAATAAAAAATTAAGGCACGCAAAACGAATCTCTATAACTAGGGGTGAAAGTGGGCTGGGCTAGGCCAAGCTTTGTCCCGAAAAGCCTAAGCCTACGCCAAAAATTTTCAATTTGGCCCGACCCAAGCCTAGTATGAGTCTAACTGTTAGCCTGTCTTGGCCCATTTATATAAAAACAAATGGCCTGGCCTAGCCCATTAGCTTGTTCATTTTTAACTTCCAAGCAGAACTATAAATCAACTTTACAAAATACTCAAATTATGTTGTTAAACCAAAAATCATCATTTCAACGTCCAAACAGAATCATGAATCACAACAAAACTCATACAATCTGCATTTAAGTCAATTTCAAAAGCAAAATGCTCAAACTAAATAACATATATTTCATCAGATCCAACAAACAAATCTATACTATGTAAATTAAAATAACTACGTGAATCCAACAAACACATCATGATGCTTGTAATAAGTATAACATCTCCCAAAAACCTTTTAATATATTCATATACACAATCTAACATGTTGAGATGTTGGTTTCTCCTACATATGAAATAAAGTCAGATTTCTATTAAAATATAATTAAGTTATAAATAATTACAATTGATTAAATATATATCTTTTGTTTTTTCTTCAAGTCATACTTATTCTATTTTATTTTTAAAAAATAAATAATACAATATAGGCCGGCTTGTAGGCTTATAGGCCAGGCTTTGTGAAAGTGAGCCTACGGCCTTTTTATTAAACAAGCTTGTTCAAGGCCCAACTCCGGCCTATTTTACGAAATATACTAGGTCAGTCCTGGCCTGACGTAGGCCGAGCCGTAGGCCCCTGTAGGCCGGCCCAACCCAGTTTCACCCCTATCTATAACATTACACAATCACTTTTCCTACAACATAACTCTTATAAAACCCTATATATATATATATATATATATATATATATATATATATGGGTCTATCATTTCTCAAACTGTTTGAGACAATGTTATCTCCGGCTACTAAATCATAACCGTACAAAAATGGATCAATGGTGATAAAGGAAGAGAGAGAAAAAAGGAATCATAATCATTTAAAGGTGAATCAATTAAAATAAGCAAATAAATAAACAAAACGACGTAGTTTTGGGATAGCCAAAGATAAACTTATCTTAAGCAGCTTGAGAAATGTTTTTCCATATATATGAAAAAATATTTCTCATGTAGCTTGAGATGAGTTTATCTGCGGCTACTCAAAACTACGTTGTTTTATTTATTTATTTCCTTATATTAATTGATTCATCTTTAAATGGTTATGATCCTCTCTTTTTTCTCTCTTCTTTTATCACCATTGATCCATCTTTGTACAGTTATGATTTACTTGTCGGAGATAAGATTATCTCAAACATGAAAAATGATAAGCGCATATGTATATATATATATATATATATATATTATTACTATCAGAGAACAAAATCGAAAGGCTCTTTACCCTATTCCTCACCTCAAGTTTCTGTTTTGGTATTCCCACAAAACAAAAAGATCCTCTTACCTCAACCCTCTGGACCATCCAGTTTTATTTTTGTAGGCATAACTCTACTTCCGATCCTTAAGCCCAATTTGAATTAGGCCAATTTGAATTGGCCCAATTTGAACGATGTATTCCGTTTCAAGTTCAACACCATCGTATCTTATCTATCATAGTCATAAACTCAGAGGATAAAGACCAGCACGCCCATCGAATCAGCCAATTATTTTTTTTCAACTTTCCATTATTTCATTTTTACAAGGATTCATAATATTCTTTTATATAATTTAAATATGTGTGTGTTAACTTTATTTAAATTTAGAGTGATGTACTTTGGTGTCACGCAATGTATACTAAAAAAACAAGACTTAGAATGCTAGACAACTATTTTATAATAGACAAAAAGTATTTACCAATGTAATTGACATTTTAAAAAATATTCAGCTAAATTAAGAAAATAAAATACTTGTTTCATTTTATTATAACTTTTTTCCTTGGGCCAGTTGCAAGTTTTTGCGGTAAAATAAAAAATTAATTTGGGTATTTGATAAAAAAAAAATTAAAATAATAATGAAGTGATAGTAACGAAATTTGTAACCTAGTGATAAACATTAAAAAAGTGAATGGTAAATTGGAAATAACCAAGGAGGTTTTTATTTATTTATTTATTATTATCATTATCATTTTGTGAATATTAGTGCAAATTTCATAAATTGGTGAGTATTATAAATGGATGTTCATATCGTATAAGTTCCAACTTCCAAGAGCTGTCAATGTCTCAGAATTCCCACGCCACGTGTTTTTCACTTTCAACTTCAAGCCTCCTCTTTTTGTCATGAAAGGAAACCCTATCAATGCATGTGTATGGTTATTTATTAGTTTATTTTTTACGCAAGTCATGTATATAGCTCAATAGAATCCAGTTAGTTAACTTGAATCATCTTCTCTAAAACCCTAAAATCTTCACATTAAAGCCCTAACCTTCTCTCTCTAACTCTCCCCTATGAGTTCATAAATACCGTCCTCCACTGACTCCAACCGCAATGTGCAACAACTGACGACGATACCCGCCACCAAGGACCGCCACACCAAGGTTAACGGCCGTGGCCACCGCATCCGCATGCTGCCTCTTTGTGCCGCCCGGATATTCCAACTCACCAGGGAACTAGGCCACCGCTCCGACGGAGAGACCATCGAGTGGCTCCTGCGCCAGGCCGAGCCCTCCATCATCGCCGCCACCGGCTCCGGCACAGTCCCCGCTGCGCCAGTCTCCACTAGCACCGCCGCATTGGACTTCTCCTCCGGCCAAGAGGGGATGTTCGCCATGGCCCTGGCACAGCCGCCGGGAATGGAGTACCGGAACATGCCGTTCACGGCCGTTGTTGTTGCAACCGACGTCAATGGAAGATACAGAGCAAGATGAATATCAATAGGCTATGGGCGAAGCATTATTACAAGGTTATGCTTCTAGAATTGATCTTAGAGGGTGGTTTTAATTAGTTCGTTTTTAGTTCTAAATGTCTTCTTGTTCTCATTCGATTTGCAGAAAAAAAGAACAAGATGAAAGAAATACGCAAATTATTAGAAATTGTATGAATATATATAGAGGGTTCGTTTATAAATTGGGATTATTAGTGTTTATCAGGAATAGATAATTTTATCTTGTTCTTTTTTTTTCATATGGCCAGTATATTATTATGTGTAAAAGATTTTTTTTCATATGGCCAGTATATTATTATGTGTAAAAGATAATTTCTTAAAACATCAAACATTAGGGAAAAATATTTTTCCGATTACTAGATATAAAGTTATCTCCAGTAAATCAAAACGACGTCGTTTTGAGTTATAAGATTAATAAATTATAATGATAAAGACTAAAATAATCCCGTAATATATTATAATTACAAAAACACCTTGATTTTAACTTACGAGATAACTTATCTTAATCCCTCGTAACTTTGAATACAATATTTGGTTTCTGAAAGATGCAACCAAGTCCAAAGTGTTGGATGGAATATAGTGCCTTGTGAAGCACGAATGCAAATGCAAAACGTGCACGGCACACTGAAACGTAGATGTGATAAAAGGGTTCGTTTTTTTTTTTAAGTTACTTCAGATAAATTTGTCTAATATTCACCATTAATTTGACATAAAAATTATGATGTGTTTGTAATTTTAATTTATTTTAAAGTTATAATAGTCTTTATCATTTTAATCTTTTAATTTTTTAAACTCTAAAACTATGTCATTTTGGTGAACATTACATAACTTTTTTTAAAATAACTTTAAAAACTTTATTCCTTGATAAAACATTATATAAATAAGTCAAATTACATAAAAATAAAGGTTAAAATTAAATTAATTATAATTATTAAAGTATAATAAAACTACTATTAATTAATACTTGTGATATTTTACTGAGAAAAAATTCAATGGTCCAAGTTTATTAAATTTTTTAGGGATCCCTCTCGCAAACAAAAATTTTCTTTCCCTATTTTATCCATGTTCTTTTTTTCTTATACCATTTTTACTCCTCTATTTGGGATTTTTTTAATGTGCTCCAGGAACACAACACTATTTCATGGTCCTTTGCTAAAAAAGAAGAGTTTTTTTTTCTATTTGTACCCTTTCTTTTTTTCAAAATTCTATCTCAATCCTTTTTTTCTTCGTATTTTTAGAAAGGGAGTAGAAGTTTAGAAAGAGAGTAGAAGCTCCCCGAACATGATAAATGAACTCCTCTATTTGTGAGTAGAATTTTATTTTACTTACGTAGCTTTCGGCCTTTCCCTATTTTATTCATGTTCTTTTTTTCTTAAACCATTTTTACTCCTCTGTTTGTGAGAGTGGTTTTATTTTACTTATGTTGCTTTCCCTATTTTACTTTGGAAAAAGTTGTGTCATTTTAAAGGATGTAAAATTGTGTTATTTTAGGAGAGAGAGAAAGATAGATAAAAAAGGAAAGAGAGTTGACAAAAAAAGTAAAGATATGAGTCCTACTTCTTTGTGAGAGTGAAATGACATAAGTTGTGTTATTTAAAAAGATAAATACTTTTCCCTTTTACTTATGTTGATACCTATTTTAAAAAGTGTTCAAAATATTAATACTTCGTAATCATTGGATTGTGGCAGTGTCGGACTTCTCCTTTTCTGTGCTTAACATATACCCGTAAAAAATGTATAGTAACAGAATTGAATTCATAATAATTTGTAACTGAATTAATCCTGAATTTATAATTTACCAAACAGAAAATCCAATTCAAGGATACCCACCTTTCCGCATGGACATGCTAGAAGTAGTATTTAAAAACTCGGCGCCAGTGTTGACTCGGTCGAGATCAATGGTCAAGGGCTCAATTGGGGTCACGAAGTCACTTCGCTGATCCGATTTTATACATTAAAAATATATAAATATATATCCTATATAAAAATTCAAAAACATCAAACCATTAATCATCAAAGATTCAAAATATACTTAACATAATTCAACTAATTATATCAACAAGCTAATCAAAGTATCAAACTATCAAAGTATAAAATATATATTCCAATGAAATTAATGAAAAGTTACATTATCAAACTCATACCCTCCTTGTCCTTCTCACGCACCTACAACAACATGTTAAAGGAGATCTCTTACCCAAAAGAGAACGATGAAGGAGAGGCAGCGGCAAGACAAGACAAATCACTGGTGGGGAGAGAAGAATCAGCATGACAGAGGAGGGGTAGAGAGAAGATCGAAGAGGATAGGAGGAACCACCGCCGTGGCAGAGGAAATCACTGGATCAAGGAGTTGTGTCTGGGTATGGGAGAGAATATCGAAAGAGAAGAAGAAGAGCAATTTAGATTTCATATATAGTTCTAGATCTAGGCAACGACGAATTTTTGTTTTGTTTTGTTTTTTGTTTTACACACCAAACGACTATGTTGTACCAACACCGACACGGGACATGACACGACACGACACTTCGACACGTTAATTCTAAAAAATGTTAGATTTCGTCACGTTAGGACACGTTTTGATATTAAATAATATTTTTAATTTATGTAGTATATATTATATTTAATATTCAACAGTTTAATAAAAAAAATGAAGCTAAACTTATAATACCCATCAATTTTGCAAAGATACATAAGACATTCCAAATATTGATATTAAACTCAATAAAATGATAATCGTAATCCAATGAATCTAATAGTTTGAACTAAAAAAGCAACGCAATACAACATTTGATCCCTTTTTTGAACCTCTGCAACACATGTTAGAGTGTCAGGAATTGTCAGAGAGTGTTAGGAAGTGTCTGACACGACATATCAGAGTTTTTAAAATGTCAGTGCTTCATAGCCAAACGACATCTTTCCGTGTGTAATTTCGCCAGCGTTTTTAAAGTGTCAATACTTCATAACCAAATGACATCTTTCTGTGTGTAATTTCTAAAAAAAAAAATACAATAACCTCCTCTAACCTGAGAGTCACGGATTCAACGAAGGATTTGGGAGTCAACGTGGATACATAGTCTAACTAGTAACCCCAATCCTTAGAAAGAGAGCATCAGTAACCCGGCCAGGTTGACCCGCCAAGATTTTAAAAGACTGGCTAGAAGCATTGGTAATTGAATAATAATATTTCTACATCAGATTTTTATGCACTAACACTCTTTCTTTCCATGAAAAGAAAAAATTAGTAGAAAAGAAAAAATTAGTAGAAAATAAAAAATGTCAGTTTCCTAATCTCTTAATTTTATTTTATTTTTTCAAAAAAAGGTGCACAATACCACCGAATACATAATTGTTTTAAAATAATAACGGTATTAAAATTCCAATAAAACCGAACACATACTTGTTTTAATAACTATTATAAAAGTTAAACTCTTTTAGTAATATATCAAGAACACATTTAAGTTTTAACACTTTGTTATGAATTCCAAAACCTAACAACGTGTCCAAACCAAACTAATCAAGACGGAAACAAACTAGTATAAATCAACCATTCATCTAATCACCTTTCGTATTTAATCCTTTATGTATAAAATTTGGTTTCTTCCACAGAGCATCCAAAATGCCACTGGGATGCAACTGTATCAGCATACCCATATTTTATAATTTAATTGATAAAAGAAGAAAATCAAATTAATTATATAAAAAAAAACCAGCCAAGATATGGGGATATAATTTAATTCCTGAAGAAGGAAAATTGCAGAGTTTCAGAATGGGTTTGCTCTCTAGGCCAGCCAAGACTCTAATGTTTACTTCCAAAGTTCCACCACCTTTTCTTCCTTCTCGATTCACTCGAAGGTATATCTGAATCAGTAGGGTAATATATATGAGTCAAACCAATACCCAATATTTGAAAAATAAATAAATAAATAAATAAATAAACCTCCAATATCTAAAAACGGGGAATAGAAATGGAAAGATTTTCAATTGGCTGAAGAAGCAAACTACAAACTATCAACACAGAAAATCTCATTAACGAGCATGTTTCTGAAATGCAAAATATGTAAAAGTACCTCCTTGAGGGTAGATGGAGTTGTAATGCACCTCTGCCCAAAAACTCAGGAAAATCACTAAAATAAACGGACATATTAGCCAAGTTGATTATAAGATAGAACAAAGAACAAACATTCTAAAACACTTAATACAAACTAAAAGGCAAAGCTATCAATGGACCAAACATTCATACAAGTATTATTTATATGAAACAAAAATAATGATCACACGTATGGAAAATTTATTCAAACAATTTCCACAATTATGTTCCGGATTCCCACCACAATAGAAACAGATACCAGAGCTACAGAATTATTGCATCTTGGAAAGCAAGGGACAATAATTTTGAGAAAAAAAAGGGTCAAATTATGGTAAAGGTTCAAAAAGATTTCAAGAAACAACATGACATAAATTGAGTTCATGAAGGAAAAGAAAAAATATTAAAGAGAATAGACCCAAAAAGGAAATATGAAAATTTAGAATAGAAGAAAGGTGGAAGTCCTAGCAAGGAAAAAAAAAATCCAGACTCCACTTGGCCTCAGCTCAAGTGAAAAACGGGCCATGGCCTAGTGAAAAGATGAATCCACTCCTCAGACTCATCACAAAGAAAACCAACCTCCTTTTGGCTTCTTAAAATGAGGAAGAATCTCTATGCAACAGGTGTCCTTGAAAGAAGTCATCACAAATATTCTCACACCATACTGGAGGAAAAAGAAAAAAAGTTAAAAAGTATTAATATAAGTATAATATCATTTAATAACCAATTTCAAACTCTATTCTTAACATAGTAATGACATCATCTCGGGAAACAGAAAGGGTACAGTAGTTGTAACTGTGAATTCAGTGAGAACTAAAAAGGACAGAGAGGTTTAACAAACTTTACCAGGCAACTATGCCTCAGTAATTTGATATACCCACACTTAATTTCATGTTTTTATTTTTTAAACATTACAAACCTGCATGAAAGACTGTCTATTAACACCCTTGTACTATGAAGGGTCAACAAATGTTTCCTTTTATGAGAATATACAACAGTTTGGTTGTCTACAGCCATATTCAATCATCCACTCTTCTGAAAAATTATAAATGATAACTGTAACAAAATTATGGTTAAGCACAAAGCCAACAACAACCAAACTCAAAATTTCAAGCAACTGCTTGGGAAATTAAACGATCACACTATCGATTAGTTATTTCTCTAGATGTTTAACAAAACATTTTGTTGCAGTATATTAAAGCATAACAGAACAGGTGCTACAAAATAAAGTTATTTGGAAGAGTAATTGAAATGCAAAAGTCATACCGAATCTGCAGCTGCTTGAAGAGTGACATGATCACCCCATTCTCCACTCCTAGTTTCATTTAGGATGAAAGTAAATGGACTGTTGGTTAGCCAAAATGAAATTATACACACACACACACACATAGAGAGAGATTATTACATAGACATCTTCTCCAAATAGTCACCATATTCCATGGGAACATATCCATCATAAATCTCTGGATTAGATTTTAGCTGGTTAAAAACACCATTCAACAAATCAAAATCCAACAGTAATTACAGAAAAACAGGGCACATATTCTAAGTCAGGCAAGCATAAAAAAGATAATCTACTAGACAACAAACCTGATTGACAACTTGTCGTCTCACAAACTTGTGGTGATCAGGTGCATGATATAATTGATCAGACAGTGCACGGAACTGGGGAACAATGAACATTAAAGAATTATTATATGAAACTTACTCTAAATATAAAGTTATTGCTGAAAAATATAAATTATTATTATGTGATTAGGAAAGTCTTCTAGGTTCGGTTAAGTAAGCAATTAAAGGTCACCCAATGTAAAGGGCATGTGTCTTTGTCTGCTAAAAATCTGAGGCTGTGTGCTTGTGAATTACAATTGACAAGGGTAGAAATCAAAAATTGAGATGGAGGAGGAAAACTAGGAAAGAATGGCGGACTCCTAAGACCCGGAAACCTTGAAAAATAAGTTCAGAACACGGAAAAATAATTCCAACTTGAAAATTTATATTCAGATGACTTTCCTAATAACATAATAATAATTGATATTCCTCAACAGTTACAATTAAAAACTAATAAATCTGCTTTGTCCAAAGTTATCAAATGCGGATTACGGCATGTCGCTGCCAACCCCGAAAAATGCTATTGCGTTATAGCGGGTTGCAGTTGTGGAGATAGCGAAATAGATATATGACAGAAATAATGACAAAAAAAATATTTTTTAAAGGCAGAGATAGCAGATGTGGCAGAGAGAGACACAGATAGACTAAAAAACCCTTAATTTTTTTTTGTTACACATTTAAATTTAGGATAAAATTGACATTTTGCCTTATGTTAGCAATATGGCCGCAAATGCAATTGCAATGGCTGCTATTGCTTTCCGGTGCGGCACAGTTTCTTGTGGCGAGGCACCGCAATGCCAATACGGCGCGGCTCGCGGCGCTATTGCGGCGTAATTAACTACTATGGCTCTGTCCTGTCAATTTTCAGAAATTTGGGAATGAGTGAACATAAGAAGCAACAAACCTGACAATTACCATCACCTTGTACCCTGTGCTCTACAAAGTCATATAACTGCAATCTGTTTAAAAATTCGCATAGCTTAGTTTGGCATGTTGTTTATATGTCTGAAAAGAAAACGTAGACAATAAATAATTCTTTCAATTCAACCAGCCTAATTCATTTAAAAATATAGAAAGGACAAAGCAACCCAAGACGAAGCCCATCTGTGAAAGTAGCTTAAGCTTAAATGATACAAAGAAACAAAAATAGCGAATGAAAAAAAAAAATTGGAAATAGCAAATATTCAGTTACAGGGGGAAAATGTTACACATCGTAGCAGCAATTATATTTTCTCCAAGAAAGGAAAATGTTTATGACTAATACCTATCCAGAAGTCTTTGATGATCCGAAGTTGCTTCATCAATTGAAGGAATTTCTCCATTAATTTTTGGAACATGCTATAAAACAAGGGGAAGGCAATTTAAGCACCACGGTCCAATACACAAATCATACGACTGATCAAAAGAAATGAACTTTCTAACAATCATACCCCATGTGAAAGGATGTAGGGTGAAAACAAAAGGGATAAAATTCATCATTAAAAAATAAAAATGACAACAGATAGCACTTTTAAAACTGGGTTCTTGGAGAAACCAGTGTTATAAAACTAAAGAATTTCAGTATCTATTTTGTTCCACTGCCCAAAAAGCTGACCATTGTTTAGAATATTTAAACCAGAAATTGCTTCATTCGTCGCTGTGCATGAAAACTAATGAACTATAGGACTAAAAGTTTCGGCATTTAAAATTATAAAAAAAAAAAAAAAATTATGAAATACAGCAAATACCAAGTAATTTGATAAGATAAAAATGTAGTCCAGAAAGAAAACTATCACTATAAGTTGACAAAAATATAACGTGGTGAATTAGCTGTTTAGTATCTAAATGAGCATTAAAAGGTCATAAGTATATTATTTATTGCTTCAATAGCTGATCCAAAAAGGAATCTAGGGAAGCAGATGAGGCTAAACATACAGGAATTGGTATCATTTGACTCAATCTCCTCCCTACTTCATCATCAAGTGGATAATTGTCAGTTAGCTCTAATGAATATTCCTCTGTTTCACATGGACTAGAACATGAACTAGAAGGTTCTGTGTCATCAACTCCTTGGGCATAATCATGGCCTGCATTTGTAATTGATTTTATAAACAAACACCCTGTAAAAAGATAAATAAAAAATACAACAACAAAAGAAGAAGCAGTTTTTGACTTCAATGATACCTCCTGAACAATAGTTCACCATTGAAGAGTTATGCCAATCATATGCAGGTTCAGTCTCAGAAACATGGAACTGTTCTTCACCTGCCTGTAAATACCTTGAAGATTCAGCAATTTCTAGCTGTGAAAACTCTTCTTGAAGAGTGCGGGCAATGATCTCATCATTCTCTACATGGTTACATTCGTTATCATAATGGCTATGGAAGTAGTGTCCATTGTAGATGTCATCAGTATCATTTTGCATTGTGTTTCCATAGTATCCAGGACTATAAGCAGGGTCACCGTCAAGAAAATTAAGACCCCACTGAAAAACGTCTAAATGCTCATATAAAGCCATCTTTAAACATTAATCTTGACAAGGAATCTGAAACCTTCTTCGGACAAAGTTGAAATAATTCCAAACCATAAAAATTACACCTGCACAAATAAGTTGTAGATGAAGAGGTCGGAGCTTCAATTGTAACTAAGACAATGACATACAGCTAGTCAGGAAGAAATCATAACATGGAATGGAGTTACCAGACCAGGTACTGTTTTTCAAAGTGTATCATTAAGGACCTAAATTGGAGGTGCAGATGCAAATATGAGGATGTAACTCCTCAGATATTGAGGAAAGATAACTTTTTAAAAAAAAATAAGAAAGAAAGAAAAACTGCAACTTGTCCCTCTTGTATAAATTATTAAACTCAATACCAGGACTGTTCGTAAAAATTTTGACAAGTCAATTTTATCATATAAACACTCACATGTCCTCCTCTATTTGATACATGATATTATAGACTTTTTTGCTCTCCAGTGATTTCATGCTTGAAAAATGAAACACAAAATGTTCATCCACATCACATTTGACTGGTTGAGAATCTCTGTTAACATTCACAAACACAATTCACATGCTCCAGCAAGACTGGCAGTAGAGGTTACCAATCAGAGTTCAAAAACATATTGAAGGGAAGTTAAGCTACCCGGAAGTGATAACAACCAAGTGGTTATAGTATACTCTGAAGCCCCCAACCCCATCCTCTTTTCCCCCTTTATAAAAACCCAAGTGAAAGCATTCTCCACATTAGTAATATATAATCCTGCTAGGTCAGCTTCCCAGATGTTGGTCAACAAGGAGTTATTAATTTGAGTTAATAAAAGTATATATGATAATTGCTTTCAACTTTCAACACCACCTAATATTATTATATCATCGAAGAAAACGTCCACTTTGCTCTCCTTTTCGAGAGAATGAATTAAAATGCGCCTACTCCGGGGATCTTATGCGTCAGTAAAAGAAAGAAAGAAAACTATTAACACAAAAGTAGAAAAAAAAAATCTAGCATCTACATCTACTTCATTCATTATTTCGGAGATCAAGCAACTATTACCCTCCACCCAAACCAGACCTCGAGACTACCGCTTACACCAATCCAAAATAAATCACACACCCACATATGTTCCAGATGAAAAGTTTCCAACTTTGAATACAAAACACTAAGTGATCCAATAGCATGCATAGAACCAAACACTGAAAAAAGTAACTGAACAGCACAACCAAATTAGCTGAGCAAAAACAAAAACAAAAACAAAAGGGAAAAAGTTAAGAACTCCCCCACCTTCGATTCAGCACCAAATGAATTCAAAAAGCGTAACTGGAAAGAGAAAGAAAGCAGCACGAAGAAGAACAATAAAAAGGGGTTGTTGTTGAGAAATCACTGTTCACTTAGGGAAGGGACAAATGCAATAGATGACGACGATGGATGCATTGAATTGAATGAATATTTATGATACGAAGAAGAAAAAAATTTAAAAAAAAAAAAAAGGCTTCACGCGCTGTTAAAGGTTGATCATAATCCTTAAGCGCTGGGTTTTGTTTTAAGCGGCAATTCTTTCTTTAATCGCAAAGCATAATTCTTAAACCTAAAAATCTCCGAAAATGTTTCTCTTTGCGTGTCGGAATCTTACAATAATTTTTCACTAATGACCGTTGATTAAGATTAACGGGTGGGGTTGGGTTTGGATCGAATCTGAGAGGAAGGTGTGAAAAGATAATGACGGTTCAGATGGGTTGCTGAGTGAAGAAGGCAGAGAATCAACGTCTGTGATTGGTGCAGGGTTCTCACAAATTGGCTTTTTTAAAAGAAAAAAAATAACTATTATATTATATGGCCTTTTTTCATTTTCTCTATTTTTGTAGCTTTTCGCTTTCACGCTTTTGTTTCATGACTTTGTACGTAGGTTATTTCTACATTGATGATTCTTTTGTTTTTTTATTGACTAATGACCAAATGCTTGTGTTTTATTTTGCATATTAATAACGAGGAAGATTATATTTAAAAAAAAAATTATTTATAAATTCTTATAAATTACGTTAAGTATGATCAATTATACTTCCATCAAGAAAATATAACTAGTCATACTTAGTGTAATTTGTAAAAAAAATTATAAACAGATATTTCTCTCAGCTATTTTTGGAAAAATTTTAGGCTAGAAGAAATGAAGGGATTGGGGAAGAGTTGCTTAAATGTTATAATGTAAATGAAATAATTTCTTTGTTTTAAGTAAATGAAATAAATTTCTATATATATTTGAGAATTATTTCACTGTTTACTAAATTTAAATTCGGGACCTTTGGGTTACAAAGGCAAAAACTTATCGTCGAGGCTCTCTCTCTTTTCACTTATAATCAATGTACTATAAAGATAAGTTTTCATTAAAAATTTGTTGTTTTGTCTAAAAATTAAATAAAAACAAGTATATGCTGGGTCATGTTTGCTCTCCATTCCTAACACATTATCTTTGAACCTCAATTTCAATCAGTCGTGTAGAATTCAATTTCCTATTTTTAATCACATTATCTGTTGATTTCAAATCGTTTTCCAACAAAAGAAATTCTTTGTATTTATTTTGAGGTCTGTAATGGCGGGCAGCAGACACCAATTATGGAATATTGTATTCATTGCACTTGATTGTTTATTTGATCAGAGGGAGTTTTGATTTGTATTCACACAGTGGCGTCTAGCATTAATTTGATTTTGCATAATTCTTAGCCAGTCCCAATCAGTCAAATATTTTCGAAACAGTAATCAAAATTCAAAATACCATCTTTTGACAAAAAAAATTATTCAAATGTCAATGCGAATAGTATTTTTTATCAGACTATTATGTAAGCATAATTCGCTACGATGATAGCATATTATATTCGCCAATGATTTTATGACACGTGGCATATTTTCGCAAGAAAATACTAACATGTCATAATTCGCTTTCACTGATAGCGAATTTGATTTGTAATATGGCTACGTGTCACGAAATTATTGGCCACAAAATTCGCTACAAGTGATAGCGAATTATGACACGTGACATGATAAAAAATACTATTCCCGTGATATTTGAATAAATTTTTTGATAAAATGTGACATTTTAATCACAAATCCAATATTTCCACTCCCATCCTTCTCAATCTCCCCTACTTTTTCATTTTTGCCCTTTTTTTCAACCCTATTATTCAAAGCGAAAAGTCCGTGCATGCATTGTTAAGAGTTAAGACTAAAGAGGATCGAGAAATATAGCTGTATTCGTAACGTCAAAAGTGATGTCTAATCACATTATCCAAAAAAAAAAAAAAAATGATGTCTAATTTAGCTGAAAGGATTGATTTCTTAAGTATGGCTAAGTCATAAATTTTTATGAGATGAAACTAAGAAAGTAAAATTCACCCTAATAATATATAAAAAAAAAATTCACATTAATAATGAATTAATACGTAATCAGGTTTACCTCGAAGGTTGAGTTTGAGGGGACAATTTATACAACATTATTTTTCTCTTAAATTTGTATGAAATCTAAGATAAAAATTTATATGAATTTAATTAAGAGAAAACTATTGCACTTGTAACTTGCAAGACGAACCTTGACAATGATGCAACAAGTACGAAAGAATAACATCTGTAATGACGTTGGCGTATTCGTAGGCCTGCATCGATGAAAACATCGTCATGTGTATAAGGCAGTTCATGCTTCGAATCTATCAGAATGGACAATTAATTTACTATTTAAATTTGTACTTTTTATGTTATATGGTAAGAGGTAAGTTATACTTACAACTATACCACTAGGGTTAGCCTAGTAGTGTGGAGTGTGTGTGTTAGGAGTGTGTGTAGTGTAGGGTATTGTGTTCAATTCCTTGTAACCTAAAAAAAAAAAGGTTATACTTATAACTTTTTTTTTAAAACCTCTTATAACTATATCTTAACTCCGTTGATTTTCGCCAATCAACGGTTATAATTTTCGCAAATTAAATTCATTAATTAATTAATTATTAATTTACAATAAATGATAACCGTTGATTGACGAAAATCAACGGTGTTAATATATGGTCGTAAGAGGTTGTAAAAAAAATGTTGTAAGTATAACTTTACTCGTATGTTAAAATGACTATTAATTTTAGAGAAAATTTCAAAAAAATTCTCAATCGTTTTATTTTGAATGAATTATCCTTTATGGTTATTTTTTATCTAAATTCATCTTTAAGATGGTTAGAAACTTAGTTAATTTTTTTTTTCAATTTATTGTTTGTCTTATTTTTTTCGTAAGTTTTCAACATATTTGACCTTTTTTTGTCATTAGTCTATTTTTTTTCTTAGAAGGGTGAAATAGGTAGATTAATTAAGTTTGTAAAAGTATTAAGGATGGGGTTGGTTGAAAACAATCATAAAGGGTAAATGATGGGAAAAAAAATAAGAATGTAAGTGATGGAAAATTATAACCTAAAATACATATTAGGGTTAATAATTTAAACCCTAAATGCATTACACGAGGATATAAATTAAAAAAGAGAAAACAATTATTTTAAATATTTATTTTTAAAAATTTTTATTTTTTAAATCACAATGGATTTAAGTGAAAAATTTTGTAACCAGTGGAAATTTAAAATCATAGGAATTTAAATGATAAAATATTTCAGCACAGAGAGTTTAAATGATAAGTTTAAAATCACAGTGGGTCAAATAAATTACAAAATCACAGTGAATGAAAATAAAATTTTCCTTTTAAATTTAATTCAAAATGCATATACAATAACGTATATATGTGATAATATTAAGTGAATAAAGTTCCAATTATTTATCTTAATAAATTTCTATAAATGCATCAAATCACATTAACACACATCAATCTACCCTTTATACTTGCCAAAGGCTTCATGATAACTTAATTCTTAACTACCCTTTACATTCTATTACATTCATTATTTTCCCTAGTCTCATCCTCATCTCTAACAATACTCTTTCTCAAGCATTAATACAATTTGTAGTGTAGCCTTATGACAATTTACAACTTACATAGACCGCCTTTCTTTGTTTTGTTTTTCTATAACTTTATTCAAGATTCTAATTTTCTTTATTTTTCATCATCAATCACCGTAAAGTGAGACAACTAAAGGAAGTGGATGGTGGAAAAGCCTTTTTGGCGCAGATGAATTTTTTAACCCTCCACTCATATATATATATATATATATATATATATATATATATATATTTACGAAAAAATATTTCCCAAGAGCTGTCGGAGGTAAATTTATCTCCGACTACTAAATCATAACTGTATAAAGATGGATCAATGGTGATAAATGAAGAGAGAGAAAAGATGAATCATAATCATTCAAAGGTGAATCAATAAATATAAGAAAATAAATAATCAAAACGATGTAGTTTTAGGGTGGCCGGAGATAAACTTATCTCAAGCAGCTTGAGAAATGTTTTTCCATATATATATATATATATGGGGCAGGATATTCTTACACCGGTGTAACACTCAATCTTGACCATTGATCTACTTGTATCCAATGGCTCACATTACTAAAAAATTTGAGTCCTTGAATATAAGTGGGATCAACGGACAAGATTAAGAGTGTAACTTATACTGGTGTAAAATGATCCTGACCCTATATATATATATATATATATATATATATAATGCAAATTATAACCTAGAATACGGCGTTTGGTTGAGGAGAAATTTTTTAAATACTAGGAAAATGTAATTACTAGGAAAATGGTTAGAAAGTGAGTTTGATAGAAAAATGTAAAAAAAGTTGTTTGGTTAACCAAAATATTACCAGGAAAATTTATTTAAATTTACAAAATCTATGTTCGGGAGAAACTTTGCACCTATTTTTTCACTTCCCCAGTTATCTCAAAATACCACATTTCAAGTGGTATTCTGTAACAGTAAATTTCATCCAAAAATTAACACAAAAGTCATTTCTCCATCTATCCTATTTGCCTAGTATTTTTTATAAAAACCTGAACCAAACGTGATATTTTCCAATATTCACTTGTACTTTTCCATCAATCTCAAAATAAATCTTCTACCAAACACTACCTAGGAGACGAACCAGTAACCGTCTAGCGGCAAATATTCCTCCAAGATGGACGCTCTTTTGGTGACGTTCTTAGTATTTTGAAGGAAAGAATAAAATCCAATAATTTTTCATTAAGACAGAGGGTAAAATTTATAAACATGGGGGCATAATTGAAAAATAAATATAAGGATTTTTTTTATACATAAATTTAAGGATTCTAATAAAGCTGACATGCATTTTTTTTAAAAAAACTCTTCCTAAACTTTTAATTTTTTTATTTATTGTAAAAAAATTTATTTTATAAAATATGTTTGACTAAATTTTGCATTTTTCAAGGGGAAAAAACTAAAAAAAGAAGAAGAAAAAACCAGTGGAACGACTACTTACACTCTTATCTAGGGATTTATACTTCACTAAATATTGAGACATCAGAAGCTAACTAAACCACCCAATATCTTATTGGCTTTTAATTTCTATATGGCTATTAAATCAATATCACTATCAGTTTATTTTACCGTTAGATGCATTATATGGATTTAACGGTTATATTTATTTTCACTTTGTATGATTATGATTCTTCGTATTTAATATAAAAACATTAAATATGAAAAATTATAATTATACAAAAGTGAAAATAAATATAAAGTATTAAATATAGGTTTTAATGTTTCTACAATAAATATAGATAAGTTATTTACATTCACTCCCAAAGTGACATTGTTTTGGGTTGAAAAATTAAAAAATTATAATGAAAAATATTATTATAACCCTGAAATAAATTATAATTACAAAAATACCTTGATTTCCGCCCTAAAACGACGTCATTTTGAGCTCAATATAGATAACTTGTCTACATTGACGGTAGAAAAAGCGAACCCTTAAATATAAGAAGAAGAAAGAAGATTTTTAGAAAATTAAATCAGAATCGTTAGATCAACATAATTGATAGTAATATTAGTAGTAACATTAATTATTAGTAACAATGTCCTATTTCTAAAATAAAAGGTGAAGGGTATTTTATTTTAAAAATTTCTAAAATACCCTCTATTTTTTATTTTAAAAATTTTACTTTCATATTGTAATATGTATTTTATTAAAATATAATTTTTCTAAAACCATGTTATTTTGAGGTTACAATAGATAAGTTTATCCCTACTACTGAGAAACACTTTTCCCAGCAAGTTTAGCTCATTTTGAAATGGAACTATTGCCTGTTCGACCTAGAGAGCACAAGAGTTATGCAGTCTCCTAACAAAAATTGCTTCTTTAGGATTTGAACTCGTATTCTCCGTGTCAAAATAGGTTACGAACACAATAAATAAAAATGAGAATTTGACTTTATTGAGAAATTATTGAAGAAATCTGATCTCAAATGACTTTACTGAAGAAGTCTGATCTCTAGGGGGTGTTTGGTTGGAGGATTATGTTGAGATAGATGGGTATTTGAGAAGTGGAATAATTGGATACCTTTATTTGGTTTAAACATTTGGAATATATGGCTACCTAAATGATTATTCCACCGAAACAATTTGCATAGGTATCTGTTTGAGAAACCCACCCAAATAATCCCTCTTGATACATGATATTATTGCATGTGAGCCGGCCAAATAAACTATGCAGGATGTCAATAATCCTCCTACCTAGTATCCAAATTAAAATGGAAGCCACAAAAAAAAAAAACTAAAAAGACACTGGTCATGCTTTTCAAAAAAAATTATAAACAGGGATATGTTCGTAATATCAACTTTTTTTCTCATCTATATTTTATCTACAACCAAACATAGATTTTATAAAAGTTATCTAATTTTTCCGATTAAATTTTTTTCAACCAAACAACTTTTTTTTATATTTTCCTACCAAACTCACTTTCCTACCATTTTCTACCATTTCCCTATGAATATCATTTCCCTATTATTCATAAAATTCCTCTTCAACCAAACGCCCCTTAGTGCTTTTTTTCAAATAATTCTTATGATGAGCTTTATTTAATAATTCAATATTTAAATAGATAATACAAGCCAACAAAGTAACTCTCCACTAACACTAAATAGGCTCCACTAATAGTTAATGCCTAATAAAACAAACAAAATAACTACCCACTATAAAACAAATCAACAATTCATAAAATAATAATAAAATAATAAAAATAAAAAACTATAACAGAATCATCCATGCATTTTGTGCATTTGATGCAAGACTATGTAAAACCTCTACAGAACTCTATACGAAAGTAGTGAAATTAAACGATACATGTAAAGATTAATGTAAAATTATAGGCTACATCTAACTATCTTACAACCATTTCACTTATTTTTCCAGCATTATGGTTTCCCTGAGAACGGAACAATCAGATGCATCAGGCTCAGCCAATATGCCTACAGCATATCCATAGAAACCTAATTTGTTGAATAGCATCCCTGAAAATTTCCTCAAATAGCTTAACAAGACAGAAGCATTCATGGTAATTGGTATGTAGCATATGATGGCAGTTTTATACACATTGTTAGAGGAGATGGAAAAAGGTTGCACTTGCTCATGTTTTGTGACAGCATCACACTGGAAGAAAATATGCATGAGCTCTTTGCTTATCTTGAAGAAGCTTCGCTTCCAACTATCAGGCTTGATGAGCTTAAAGCTACAATAATCAAGATGCTCTTAAAAGTTTTGGTCTCCACATCCTAACAAACCAATTACTTTCTCCAGGCTTCAAATCCATGGTCCGTTTCTTGTTTTTTATTTCAGTGTCTTGAGAAGCTTCCACTCTTGTCACATTCTTCAAGGGTAACTTTGGACTAGCACTTGATGAAGGTTCTACTATTCCATTCACCATTTCCAATACCTCGCTCATCTTTGGCCGACTCTTTGGGTTTTTGACCAAGCATCGGTTAGCTATTATAGCAAGTTTCTGGGCTGACTTGATGACTTGTTTCTTATCAAGTCTTGGATCCAATATTAGTTCAAATTTCTTGCCATCTGATAGGTATGGCTTTATCCATTCCAACAGCTTCTGCTCACCCTTGGGGCGATTTCGATCTAAAGGGCGCCTGCCAGTAATGAGTTCATAAAGGAAGACACCATAGCTCCATACATCATTCTTTGATGTGAGACGTCCAGTTTGAATATATTCAGGAGCTGCATATCCCATTGTTCCTACAACCTGATGAACATAAACAGCCACATGAACACAAGTAACATATTGAGTCACTGGATTCCACTCATAAATGGTTGGGTTCTGCTGTTAGGAGAATACGTTACATGAAAAATAAAAAGGGTATCAACAAGAGGGGGTGATTTAACCATCTATATGCCCAAATGATGAAATAACATTGACAAAATGAAAAGCGAAATTTGGACTGAGTAATTTTTTATGGTCAAGAAATGAACCCAATTTTTAACATACGTTTGACTTTCATAGATGGTTATCAAAAGACACCAATAGAGTCCTTATGATTTCCTGTCATAAATCATGATTCATTTGATAACATATTTGAAATGATCATTGATTCAGGCCCATTAAATCATCAGCAGTTTTACAGACAGCTAAAGAATCAGGTCCCTATTCTTGTATTGAATTTCTCTCCTTCCTCATCTAAATAATCATTTGAAAAGATCAAAAGCAATTACCTCTCCACATACTTTAACAATACTATATACGAAATCATAGATTAATAAACATAGCCATACCGCTGTTGAGACATGAGTTAATCCATCCGATGGTCCCAATCTGGCTAACCCAAAGTCTGATAGCTTTGCTTTCCACTGTTCGTCCAAAAGGATATTTGAAGATTTGAAATCTCTGAAAATTATCTAAACAATGCGCACAAAGTTAGCATGGCATTAATCAACTGCACCAAAGATCTGAATGGTAAATAAACTATGTTCCAAGTATTCCAATTGAGCTCCTCTGAGCTTCCTTTCATTTTTCTTTTGGGATGTGGGATATCTAAGTGTGCGGAAAACAAGTTTCCAGACAAGGCTTAATTAACTTGAATAAGAATTTAGGAAAGTTATGGTATACACCTATACCTGAAAATCCATTTCCTCATGCAGGTATGTTAATCCACGAGCTGCATCTTGGGCTATTTTTAATCTCCTACTCCATGGGAGAGGAGTCTCTGCTCGGTGCGATAAATGGTGCTCCACGCTTCTGTTTGGCATGTATTCATAAATCAGAAGCCGCTGGATTCCTCTTTCATCATCATCAGCACAGTAGCCCACTAATTTCACAAGATTGGGATGCTCGACAATGCCCAAAACATTCACTTCCGTCACCCATTCCCTATGTCCCTGCAAGTCAAAAGTAAAGTAACAAAATTATAAGGAGGACAAAATACATACAAAAGATTAACACATAATTCCTATATTGTGTAGCAATCAAAGCATCTGTCTTGACAGCGAAAATCTTCAAGATTAAGGTTAACAAAATGTAACATTAGAAAGTTTAAACCCCTGAAAAACTTGAAATATGAGAACATAGAGGCATTTATTCTAACTTCTGAGTTATGAATTACGATCATGTCTACATGAAGCAACTCACATGATAATTTAAATTATTCAATTTTTAAAATATACTCATTATAGCTTACATTATGATATTAAAACGGATAGTGTGTATGTTAGGTGTCAAACACATTATGTTTCTAGGACCAAAAATATGTTAAATAATGTTAAAACTGGTCAAGAATATAGTGTGTATGAATAAATGCAAAAGACTTATGATTGAGTATGATGCTGACTTAAAAACTTATCGGTTTCAGGTTAAAATTGCTAAATCAGAGCATTGATGGATCAAGGGAACCGGAGGAAAACAAGAATCGAGCCAAGCAGAAGCTAAAGGAGTGATTTCATTTTATATCTCGCTAGGATTCTCGCCACAGCAAGTGACTCAGCGAGACGACATCAAAAGTGCAATTTTCATATAGCGAGCAGTGACATGTATCTTGCTAGAAATAACTCACTACAACGAGAATATAGCAAGCAACACTTACTTTTCAGCTTCATCTCGCTAGAAATAACTTGCTACGACTAGCAGTTAGCGAACTGCTCGTAAATTAAGGCCCATGGATCTTCTTGTTTTAAAAGATTCAAGCTAGGGATTTCTAAACAACTTCTGATGGCTGAAGACTACTTGGAGAGGTAGAGGAGCAGTTTCTGAGCAAAGGAGAAGGAGGAGAACGTGAAGACTTCACCATGGAATCGAATCACTGAGTTTTCTTTATGACTTCTAGTTGTTTTCAATAATTGTTTTTGTTTCCAAGAACATGTTAGGATAGTTTCTTTTTTGTAGTTAGGGTAGATGGAACCAATGGATTTTTAATGCTTTCTATTCCTTTTTTGTAATTGATGTTTGATTCTATGTTATGCAATTAATCCGTGTTTCACTCCTAGTTTATTTATGATCTCGCCAATTGTGAATGAACACTAGAATCTTGCATGACAATAGGGATGGTGGTATAGGATTCCGATTGATTAATTGCTAGATTTTGTATTATCCAGGGATAGACTTACAAATCTATGACTTGTTAATTCTCGTTCTTAATGCTTGCTTTAGGAGAAATAACTAAGAGATTAGGGTTTTGAATAAAGTAAAGGGTTAAATTACTAAGGGATTGAGATTTAATCACTCAAGAGAGAATTGTCAATAACATGAATTAAGTATCAGTTATAGGAAATGGTAGGATCATTAGGAAGAAATTGGGGAAATCGAAACCCTAGCTACGCCTTTGCATATTTGAATTTAATCCGTTATTCTGTTCTTGTTCTTGTTAGCATTCTTGATTTGGTTCTTAGTCTTGATAATAAAATCGAAAGAATTTTTGCTTTTAATTTCTATTTTTAAGAATCTGAATTTCATTCTCAAAAACTCCTTAGACCAATCCAACTTTGATAGTATAGTGAATTTAAAGCTTAATATGTCAATCCTCGTGAGAAAGATTCTTTACTTTTTCACTTTATTTCTTGTACGACCGGTATACTTGCCATAATCGCAAAACAGTATTCAACAACAGAGTAACATAACTATACACTAATGCATAGCAAATGGCAACACCTTTACTAAGATACCTCCTGATGTTGCAGAAGCAACTATTTATATAACTCACAAGAGGAAAAAAACAGAAGGCAAACCCTTACCTGCATTCCTCTTTTACTAAGCTGTTTAACTGCAACTTCAATTCTTCTGGATGGGTCCTCTACACTTCTAATCAATCCCTGGTAGACACATCCAAATCCACCCTCTCCAATCATAACAGAGCGACTAAAATTCTTTGTGGCTGATTTCAATTCAGACACAGTGAACACTCTAAGGTTGCTAGGTCTTTGGGACAAACTGGGAATTGCATTCCTCCTGAGGGATTCAGTGCTGCCATTGTCTGAAGCATCCAGAGAATTCAATTCAGAACCAGATCTTCTAACCTCAGCATATGTGGAACTGTCTGACCGAACCGAAACTGATTGCAAGCCTTTCGGTTCATCTTTCTTCTCTACATGGTGGAATGAAAAACACTTCATTGCAGCTGATTGGACTGCATTTTCAATAGGGAGAAGGAAAATTGAGAAACATATAGCCATTGAAAAAGGAACACTTCATCGAAATTGAAAGTCACAGATGATGAAAACTTGTCAAATTAAATTCAGAAAGAAAAGAAGACCCACTGGCATCAAATAACCGTATCAATATCATCAAACAACTTCAGAAGCAGCCTTATCAACCTAATTCCCCCTGTTAACAAGTCTAATTTCAGACAAAACAAATATAACTGTTTCAACTAATAGTAGAGAAATTGAGCCTGAAACTCACCTCTGGTGTAAATAGAAAGCTATGACGTAATAAAATCCAGAGTCTGCAATAAAACTCACCTTTTGGGCAAGAGACCTCTCTTCTCTTAACCCATTGCATCCAAAAGTGGAGACTTTTGACTTTTGAGAATGAAGATAAAGACTACTGTTCATAAACAGAAGGAGGAGTCCCCACACGGTAGATGCAAGTAGGGTCCACTTTGTTTACCAACCAAACCAAATGCCGAATCAAATCATAGAATCCGTCATACGATTTGGTTCTGCCACGTTTTATTAAATTAATTTTAAAGATGTAGAATAATTACAATAAGAATAAATATATTAAATCAAATTCTATAAAAAATAAGATATTATAGCTACTTTTTTTATATCTACTCTATATATTTTCTTTAATACCGTTAAATCATAATTATAGAAGAGAGAAAATATAAAAATTAATTAAAATTCTAATCTAATGATAACGGAAAGTAGTAAATAAAGTAAGGATTTTATAAGAGTTATGTTGTAGGAAAATGAATTGTGTAATATTATAGAGAATCGTTTTGTGTGCCGTAATTTTTTCTTTTTCTTTTTTCTTCAAAATGTGTGAGCCTCACAAAATGTTGTGTGTGTAGGAAAGTTTGTTGTGTCATGTTAAATAACAAATGCAAATCTCATAAAGTAATTATGAATTAAAGATTAATATAATGTCATATCTCATTTTATAATATATAAATAGTTATCGAAATTATTTTTTAATATCTTTAGTCTTTATAAAAATTATAATTTTTTAAAGTTTTTGAAAAATCATTTAAATGAAAAAGAGAGTTTTTGGATTTCAGACCAAGTAAGCATTGTACAACCGTAAGACACGGAAGAAACAGCTTGAGTTAAGGTTAATGTTGTGTGGCCAATATTCAAGAAAGAAAGTCAGCACTGGCTCGTTGGTGGACCGACATAATAACATGCACTTTCGATACGTGTGTCGATCAGGTAAAATATTAATTTGAGAATGCTAAAAAATCATCAACCAACATGCTATTACATTATTTAAAAATTTACGTAATTATTTAATATAAAATAATAATAACTTAATTTATTTAGTTTACTCTATTTATATAAATAAAATTCACATATTATATATATATAGTTATATTATTTAATTACATATTGACTTCTATAATCTTGATTTTAATATTTATTATGTCTGTGAAAGGTGTTTTATTTTTATTTTTTTAAATAAAGGATTGAAAAGTAACCAATGCATGACATCATATATAGCGAATCTTCCTCCACGTCACCCACAATTGACCCAGCTACTCTCATGCTTAAGTCCAGTCCGAGACCTTGACTGACTGAGTATTGGAGGAAATTACAAGGCAAAATCATCGAGTGTTTTACACCATTCGAACAAACTAATAATGTGTATCGTTTGTGTTTGTGCAGTGAAACACAAGTTTACAACCTATCAATGGTGATTTTATGATTTGGAACTAGTAATTTTTTTTTTTAGATTATCCCACCGATAATTTTATAGGTTTTCTATGAACTAATTCGAAGTTCGGGGTGAGTTAGGATTAAAGTTTTAAATCCCTTTTAAATTTTATGATTTGGAACTAGTAAATTTCATTTTGGTACCTTCATAATAATTTTGCCTGCATCTGAGTTTAAGTGGAAGAAATGATTAATTACTCTTGTCTAAAATTTTGAGTATAAATTTCTCAATAAGCAAGTTATTGCAATCCTAACATTGTGTCATGCTTTAATTTGCTTATGTTATGTTTAAAATAATTTATAATTGTTTTGTCAAAAATATTTTTAAGAAACTAATTTTCTTTTACCGAAATATAAAAATCAAACATGTCCTTAATATTTTTAAAAAAATGATAGATAATCAAAACATTTTTGTTATAATCTTTAATATAATAATCTGATATGTTTGTTAATACAGTGAGTGATCCCGTTACTTTATTTCATTCAATAACCACTTGATCTATGTGAATAATTATTACGTGAGACAAGGTGGTGATAATAGAAAGTGATTCTAGTAATGCAATTGCGGTGTTCACCAAAGGTGGTGGTGTTACTCGTGAGTCCCATTTGGTGGGTAGAATACGAGTGCTTTTGGCAAAAAATTGGTTAGTTCGTCTTACACCTGTTCATAGAGAAGAGAACCAATGTGCTGACTGGTTGACAAATTTCTCTTCGGATCATCCTCTGGTAGATAATTTCAGTCATCTTTAGTATCGTCGCCCTGATCTTTATTTATTAGTCTTGGCAGATATGACCTTTATAAGTTTATTTTGTAGCTCTGTAACTTGATTTATTTTAGTTTTCTTGTTTTTCTTTTGGTTGGGGTGTTCCACCCCATGCCCTACCCCAAAAAAAAAAAAATCCAAATTTCAAATTTCAAATATGCTCTAAGTCCCACAACATCATTCCTAAGGAGAGTCGTACACCCACAAGGTGGTTATGCGAACATGTCAAAATAGGTTGAATTTGATGAGTCAACTCTGTCAAAATGGGATACGTTAGATTATGTGTTTCAACCTACCTATATGTGGGGCGGGTTAATACTGGTTATAGGTGTGGTAGGGCCGATCAACCCGCATGTAATTTAATATATATATATATATATATATATATATATATATGACAAAAGTATTTCTACAGCAACTTTAGATAAGCTTATTTACAGCTGTCATATATATATATATACTTTTGTGCTGACGTGGAGAGAGAGAAAATAGCAACTTTAACGTTATAACTATATTCGCCCGGGAGAATATAGTTAAAAATGACAGCTGTAGATAAGTTTATCTAAAGTTGTTGTAGAAATGTTTACCCTATATATATATATATATATATATATATATATATATATATATATATGGGGCAAGATATTCTAACACCGGTGTAAGAATTAGAAGTCTTACACTCAATCTTGATCATTGATCCACTTGTATCCAATGACTCGCATTACTAAATAATTTGAGCCATTAGATATAAATGGAATCAACGGATAAGATTGAGAATGTAACTTACACTGGTATAAAATGATCTTGACCTTATATAAATATATATATATGAGGTAGGATCCTTTGACATCAGTGTCAAATTTAAAATTTGACACCTCATGTGAGAGTTATTAGATCAAAAAAGATCAATGGTGTCACATGCTTACAAATCAGAGTCATTGATCTTTTTTGATCTAATGACTCTCAGATGATGTGTCAAATTTTAAATTTGACACTGGTGTCAAAGGATCCTACCTCATATATATAGTATATTATGACTTGATTAATCTATGTGAATGACTATTATGTACGACAAAATATTTTTTTTTTAATTTATTATATTACTGAAAAGTTTTTTTTAAAAAAAATTCATTTTTGATTTTCATTAATACAAAAAATAAAAGAAACTTAATTTCGTTTTTGTATTAAAATGCTAGTATCTATACAAATCAAACTAATGCTTATGAAACTCTAGTTACATGATGCAATGATATGTTCTTTTACAGATATTTACATGTTTGATGTTATTATTATTATTATTTGTTGGTACATTGTCAGGAGGTATCCCCATTCAACCTTCTCCGGACACCATGCCCTCGGGGTACGATCCGTTTGGGCTAGCCCCTCATTGTAACAGTGGGCGTACTAAGCTTCGCAACCGGAGAAAGGACGAGACTAATCCCTCAACCGAAGATTTTTGGCTTATCCTCTGACCCCCAAAGATTTTCCAAGAAACTGCTTGAGGCAGGGTTTGATCCCTGCACCAAGCAATCCCTTGGGAGCTCAGCTGCCAACTGAGCTACCCTTGGGGGTTTGATGTTATTATTTTATGAGTTATAAGTTTCTCCTCTTAAGGAGAAATTTATAACCACCTATAGTAGTGTTTGGTTCGGGAGAAATTTTTTTTTACTAGGGAAATGTAATTGATAGGAAAATGGTTGGAAAGTAAGTTTAGTAGGAAAATGTAAAAAAAGTTGTTTGGTTGACCGAAATATTACCAGGAAAATTTATTTAAATATGTAAAATCTATGTTCGGGAGAAACTTTGCACCTGTTTTTTCACTTCCCCAGTTATCTCAAAATACCACATCTCAAGTGGTATTCTGTAACAGTGAATTTCATCCAAAAATCAACACAAAAGTCATTTTTCCATCTATCCTATTTGTCTAGTATTTTTTGAAAAAACCTGAACCAAACGTGATATTTTCCAATATCCACTTACACTTTCCCATCAATCCCAAAATAAACCTTCAACCAACCAAACACCATAGATACAACAAAGCGTGGGACCCACTAGGAGAAAAAAATAAATAGCCAGCGCGACTATTGATAGGTTCGTAGGAATTTTTTTCCCTTGATGATGTATACGCTTATTTTATTATATAATAACACTTTTTTAATTAATCTTAAGATATGATTTTTATAATTAAGTTAAATGAAAACATTGGATTAAATAACTTTTTTGTCTTTTTTTTTGGTAAACAATTCTGTTGTCTTTAACTTGTTGTTTGATTTTTTTTTTTAAACTTCAGAAATTTTTAGAAGTTAGAAATAAAAGATTAATATCAATATATTTAGAGTTTCTTAATATTTTATTTTTTTAGGCAGGTTAACTCGTTTCAAAACAGAATGGATTGATATTTTTAAAGGTTTTATAAGAGTTATGTTGTAGGAAAAGTGATTGTGTAATGTTATAGAGATTCGTTTTGCGTGCCTTAATTTTTTATTTAATTTTTTGTTTTAAAAAGTGTGGGCCCCACAAAATGTTGTGAGTGTAAGAAAGTTTGTTGTGTTATGTTAAAGGATAAAACGAAAACCCTATTTTTAATCCATTCATCACAAGCGGATGAACCCGGCCGATCCCTTTTTGAAGGGTTGAAAATAAGGTAGGGCGAATCTGGTCTTTTGCCATCTCTATCTGCTGTTCATGAAAACTCCAGTCTGGTTTACTTTTCGTATAATTTATTTTCAGAATTGAATATGGCCAATATTTTATTTTTATTTTTTGGTTGAGGAAAACGGCGAGCCGCATTTATAGGAAAAATGTTTCTACAGCTAATGCTAATGCAGATAAATTATCTGGATTTATTCTCAAAACGACGTTGTTTTGGTATTTTAAATTTTAAAAAATTATAAATATAAAAATTATTATAACCTTGAATAAATTAAAATTACAAAAACAATATAATTTCCGCCCCAAAACAACGTCGTATTGAGTTTACTACAGATAACTTATCTGCAGTAACTGCAAAAAAAGCGAATCCATAACTTATATATAAAACTAACGTAACTTATATATATATAACTAACGTAACTTTTATATATATATATATATATATATATATATATATATATATATATATATATATGGGGCAGGATATTCTTACATTGGTGTAAGAGTTAGAAGTCTTACATTCAATCTTGACCATTGATCCACTTGTATCCAATGGCTCACATTACTAAAAAATTTGAGCTCTTAGATATAAATGGAATCAGTGGACAAGATTAAGAGTGTAACTTACACTGGTGTAAAATGATCTTAACCCTATATATATATATATATATATATATAACGTAACTTATATATAAAGATGCCTCTCTAAGATGCCTTTGAATTTATTAAGCAACTGTTGAGTGAGGCCACTATGTCATTTTAACTACTAGTTAGATAGGATCTTTCATCTGAATGCTTTATAGTATATCTGGTTTTATGCTCATATCATAGTCGACCACCTTGTTGCAATTCAATCACAAATGATTGACACAATAATTATTGTTTTAACCGTGTGTTGCTATGATCTCAATTTTTGTTTACATTGGTTAGTGAGGTTAGGCCGTTCTTTGGTGTATTTTGAGGATAAAAAGTTAAGGAGAATACTTCATGGCATTTTCTTAATTTATAGTACTTGATAAATTTTGTTTTTGTAACCACAAGCTTATATCTACAACTTTTATCTGCAGACTATTAATATAACCTTTGCAACAGTAAATTGTCAACTTGAAGAAGCCAAAAGAAAATATGAGTAAGTATTTTTCGTTGGTTGTATAACTAAGATTATATATATGTTAGATTTGTTTACAGTCTTCTGAATGACGATTCATCCTTCTTTTGGTGTTCTTTATATGTTATTAAATTTATGTTTATTTAATTTTTGCACTTTAGAGATTTTGATAACATATTATATAGGCCATCTGAGTTAATAATATATAATGCTCGTATACTGTGACTCAGTGGATGAAGAGTTGTGCTTTTTCAATTATTTGTGTTTTAAATATTTTACATGCCTACAGGTACAGATGCACAACAAGAGGAAAGGGCTGCACAACAATAGAAGAGGGTTGAGCAACAAGATAGTCTCTTGTAGGTCATTCACCAACATGACTTTCGTATCTTGTTTGGATGTACATGACATGGACTATTGTACATAGACTTTTTTCATTAGTATATAACAAGACTTTTGTACACATAATTATATTAAGATCAATATGATTTTGATATATTATTTACTTTCATTATATTTGTTTATCAAGTGCAAAACATAAATTGGTATTAATTTTTAGAGCAAAATTAAAAAAAATCGACAAAAAAGCAATTTCGTAAAATATTGAGATAATAGTTTATGACAGAATTTCATTCATTTTCTGTAAAAAAATGATTACAAAATTTTTCGACGGAATTTGTTTTCGTCGAAAACTAATATAAGATTTTTCGACGGAATTTCATTCATTTTTCGTTGAAAAACTTTGACGGAATTTGTTTTATGTCAAAAATTATTACAAGTTTTTTCGACGGAATTTCATACAATTTCTGTCGAAAAACTTCAACGGAATTTATTTTCTGTCGAAAATTATTACTAGATTTTTTGACGGAATTTCATTCATTTTCCGTCGAAAAACTTCGACAGAATTTATTTTTCGTCGAAAATGTATACAAAATTTTTCAACGGAATTTCATTTATTTTTCCTCGAAATTTTTGGACGGAATCTCTCATTCCGTCGAAAAAATTATTAGCAACGAAGAGATACACCACGGCTTAATTTTCGTCGAAAACTTTATTTTTGACGGAATTTTAACCATTTTCGACGAAATTTTTCCGTCGAAAAAAATGCATTTTTTAGTAGTGATTGGCTCAGAATTGGTCATTATATTAACAAAATATAACATGATTTTTTAACAAATTCAAATTTTTTTCCAATTTTTTAACTTAAAATCTAAAAAAAAAAACTATGAGTACAAAAAATTTATCTTAAAAAAGTAAACAGTACTTATACCAAGAAATTTATTTATTAAAAATTTATACTGGCATAATTTTGATAAATACTTATTTGCTTGGCAATAATAGCTGTTTTAATTGTAATTATTTTATTATAACCTTTATGATTTAATTTATTTTTAAAAAATTGCAACACGTAACACTAATCACTTAATATATAAGTGATAAGAGAAATAATCTAAAATTTTTATTTAAAATTTTTTTTTATTAAGTGTGTAATATTGAATTTTTTACATAATAATAATTTTTACAAATAAAAACTTTCTGCGTTTCTTCTAGTTTTTTTACCCTGATAGGATGATGAAAGTTCTCATGATTGCTTCATAATTGTTGAATTCCTTGGTCTTTAACTAAAAAAATATTTTTTATAATGAAGTTTTGTAATGATATATGATTTCGATATTGTCCGCTAATAAATTATATTATGCATAATCCTCTAAACTATTATTTAAAAAATCTAAATTAATGGACGATTTTATGGTAAAACAAAAAGAAGGAAAAAATGCCTTTAAATAGCAATATGAAAATTCGTAGATTAAGTTAAGTGTGGCATGTCACTGTCTACGATCAATGAAAGAAAATAAATATAAATTCATGGCCATAAATGTGATGAGAAATCAACTATTCTAAAAGTTTTATGGTAAGTAAATTATTTTTATATTTTTAATATAATTTTTATGCAAGAATTGATTGGACCTGTAGCATGTAAAATATATGAACTCACTTTATTATATAAACTAATCATCTTAGAATGCTAAGAGAGTTGAAAACTTGAGACTAAAGCAAATGCTCCAATGCACATCCTTCAATCTAGCCTCCCATTTCTCTCGGCCATTTCTTCATCCCAAAACCAGGACCCTTTCCACTTTCACCCAAACAACAATGAACAAAAGTGGAAAACCAAGAAACAACTTTTACTCCCTTTTCTTCCACCTTCGTTTCCTGCATTCCTTGTATGTATATATCTCAGTGGAGAAAAAGGCAATGTTGTGTGACACCATGTTATAATTAACAATGAAACATTCTCGTTTCACACCAATTCTTCAGCATGATGCTTAACTTGGGGGACATCAAATTATGGAAATGAATGAAATGAGGAACAATGCCTCATGGTTCTCCCTTGTCTTATTCTTGTCCACTTTTGTTTTAATAAGTCTGCTACCACGAGTTCAATGTGCAGAAGGGGGTGATACTCTTGCACCATCATTTTACACGGAAGAAATCTACAAGGAACTTGAAGGTCTTACTACGGCTTTAACCAAGGATATCAAGGAAGATTTAAACTTCTGCATAAAGGATGTGTGCGTCATATATATTCTTGTTATTGCCTGCCCTTCTCATATATGATATATAGTTAGTCACATTTGTCCTAGTTATTATTGACCATGCACTTTCCCATCTTTCAGGGAGAAAGACTGGGAGGAAGCCTTTGATTTTAAGGGAAAGTTGGATTTTGTAGATGCTTGTGTTAAGCAAAAAGGTATAAGCTCTCATATTGTAATTTTAGTTTCATTTACACAAATCATGTAGCCTCTGAAGTTTGGAGAATTTCCTAAAATAGATTGTCTGTCTTTGGACGATAAGGGAGTAAAACCAAGATTATAACTATAGGGAATTATATCTTATAAGGGTTTCCAAATAATTATATTGAGATATAATTGACAGGTGATTTCAGAGATCGAATGTGTACCACAGCTGAAATAAGGTACTACTTCAACAGTTTCTTCGAACAGGGGGGCTCATCTGCCAGTTATGTAAAACCTAACAAGAATTGCAATTTGACTTCATGGGTTTCTGGTTGTGAACCTGGTTGGAGTTGTAGTGCTGGCCAGAAAATTGACCTGAAAAAGGATACAAAGGATATTCCTGATAGAATTAATAACTGTCAACCTTGCTGTGAGGGGTTTTTCTGCCCTCAGGGATTGACTTGCATGATAAGTAAGTATGTCATACCTCTTAAAATATTATTATTGGAGTCCATACAATCTTCCAATATCCTTGAAATTCTCAGTATATTTAAAGTGGATGAGGTTGTTTTAAAGTGAACTTGTCTCCAAAGTAAACAATTAAGGATATATCTATCCTTGATTTAATTTAAAGTGCATCATAATCTTAATCCACTAAAATTTAAAGGTAGAGACATCCTTATTTGCTGATTTTAGAGACAAACTCACTTTAGAATAGCCTTTTCCATTTGAAGCATACTAAATGTCAATCTTGTGCTGAACTGTGGGATATTTTGTCACAGTTGTCACGTTTTCTACGGAACAAATTTTATGTGAGCATAACATACTAAAATGTGTTATTGAGCCCCGTGATAGAGCTATTATTTGCTCTTCATGATTAAAACATGAAACCTGAATTATTTTTAGCGTACATGTTGCAGTAATTTATTGTGAAATTTTTTAAGAAACAGCATACCTAAAAAATATGATTTGATGAGAGTAAACATTTTGTTCTTGTCAACAAGAGGCCAAGGATTTTAGTCTATAAAGGCACACAGATGCAACATTTTCTCCAACTTCGCTTTTGATAGTCATCATGCAAACTTTTATTACATGGGAAGACAACTTTTATTTCAGTTAAAATCTCCGGAATTGTCTTCTGTAGCTGATAAGTAAATTTTCTGATTTTGCTCTCAATGAAGCTTGCCCACTTGGTTCTTATTGTCCACTTGCAAAACTGAACCAAACAACTGGAGTATGTGACCCGTAAGTTCTAATGCTTACCTGGATTTTTGTCAATGGTTGTTTGTATTTAGTCCCGCAATATATTCATCACTAGTAACAAATTTGAGCTACCTCAGTTGCTCGGTTGGTTGGGACTTGGATAGAAAATATTCACAATTTCAAGTTACTGTGATGACATTTTGATGTATAAAAATGAAATTTGCAGATACAGTTACCAGTTACCTCCAGGAGAAGCAAATCATACTTGTGGTAGTGCTGATATTTGGTCTAGTGTTGTGAACAATAGTGATATCTTCTGTTCTCCAGGATCATACTGCCCTTCTACCACGCGCAAAGTTTCTTGTGATAGAGGGTATAGACTTATTTCAGGGCTCCTTTTGCTCTTACTTAAATATTCTAAATTTATTTTGTAGCAAAAGATAATGTTCATTGAAACTTTCAAGCACATGGTACTGACAGCTGAGAGTCCATACTAACTGATATCATGTTCTACAATTTTAGATATTACTGCAGGATGGGTACAACTCATCAAAATCGTAAGTTAATTTTTTTGGTTAAATAAATTTATGCCATGTTGTGTATCTTTTAATTATGCTTCAAGAACGTATAACATTTTAAGGTTATACTGTTAGAATATCCATAAGATTTAACATAAAATCCACAGAACATAATCATACAATATAATAAGGAAGAAGAGATATAATTTAAAAACCTTTGGTCTTCATCTTATATAAAAACAAACTGATAATAATATGTGGGTTGAACCCCATTTCAGAATTAGGCCTAGTAATTAATTAAGCTCACAATAAACTTTGAAAATTAGTTTAACATATGCTCCATGAGTTTACAAATGATCTTATCCATATGGGTGAATGCATGACAGCACAACTGGCCTAATAAAATTAGCAAGATGCAGCAAATAATCTATTAGCAATTGGATTTAAGCTTTCTGTCTATTTACATGCTCTATATGTTGTTTCATGAGAACTTACTTTTCATTGTTCATTTTTGAAGCATGCTCTTCGTTGAGTTCCTGTGATCCAAACACAGCAACGCAAAATATGCAAGCTTACGCCGCTTTGCTTATTGTAAGTAGATTCCGATCTAGTATTGGATGAAAGTCATCTTTGAGTCTCTCCTTATTCATTTGGCTTCATTTATTAAGAAATATTCAACTCTAAATATAATTTGTAATATTTATTTTCCATGCATTGCATTCCTTTTCGTTCTCACAAGGTCCAGTTTATATATCCATCATTGTAGGTTGCTTTGAGTACTGTCCTGATCTTCATATATAACTGTTCTGATCAAGTTCTAGCTACTAGAGAAAAAAGGAAGGCTATGTCAAGGGAAGCTGCAGTAAAACATGCAAGAGAAACAACACAAGCTCGTGAAAGGTGGAAAATAGCAAAAGATGTCGCTAAGAAGGGTACAACGGGATTGCAACGCCAGTTGTCTCGCACCTTTTCTCGTAAAAAATCTGTAAGGCAAGGAGAGCAATTGCCTACAAGCAAAGCTGATCTTTCATCTGATGGTTCAAATGCCACAAAGAAGGAACCTAGCAACCTCACTAAAATGTTGAACTCCCTTGAGGATGATCCTAACAACAATGAAGGATTTGACCTGAAAATTGGAGATAAAAATATTAAAAAGAAGATGCCAAAGGGAAAACAGTTACAAACTCATAGCCAAATTTTAAGGTATGCTTATGGTCAGATTGAGAAGGAGAAAGCTCAGCAAGAGCAAAACAAGAACTTGACTTTCTCAGGAGTAATTTCAATGGCTACTGATGGTGAGGTGAGGACAAGGCCTGTGATTGAGGTTGCATTCAATGATCTAACTCTCACTTTGAAAGGGAAAAACAAACATCTACTGAGATGTGTGACCGGTAAAATCATGCCTGGTCGAGTTTCAGCTGTCATGGGTCCCTCGGGAGCTGGGAAAACAACATTTCTTTCAGCTTTGGCAGGAAAAGCAAGAGGATGCACTATGTCAGGCTCAATTCTAATTAATGGAAAACCTGAATCTATTCACTCCTACAAGAAAATTACTGGTTTTGTGCCACAAGATGATATTGTGCATGGAAACTTGACAGTTGAGGAAAATCTTCGTTTCAGTGCAAGATGCAGGTATCTTTACTCTTTGCATTTTGTGTTATATATATTTAATGCTTGATGTGTATTTACTACTTTGTTCTTACCTGTATAACTAAATGCTCATGATTTGCAGTTTATTAAAATTAGGACACTTTATTAGAAATTATATGTGAAGTGTATACTTTTATAGTTTTGGTTTTTGATAGAGCTCTGTTGTTTGATTCATGTGGTTGACTCCTCTTATTAGTGAGATAAGAATTGGTTGTTGTTGTTGTTATTGTTATTCTACTTCCATAGTTGTTTTTCTCTTTTAACAATTTGCATGGTTTTGTTTCGGATCTTTTAAGATTGGTTTGAGTAATTATTATATATCCCAAGTTCATATCTCAGTGAAGTGTTTATGAAGAAAAAAAAAATACCCAAACCTCTTTTAAGTTTTGATGCATGGCACTACTGGGACATTCCTGTATTTGGTTATTTTCCTCCCTCCCTGTCTTGTAGTTTGATACTTGCTAATGCTTTGATGTATGTCCTGACTTTTATATAACGAACTTTGAAAGATTTAAATATGAACTACTAGATAAACATGGATAAAAATAAGTGCTCGTAACTACACTTGTTACAAAGTTCTCCACCTGATTTTAAAGTGAACCTTTGTACTAAGTACCTGACATGAAAACTTGTTCTTATGAGAGGTACAATATGAATTCCTAGTTATTAGAGTTATTAATATTTTTCTCTGGATTTTTGTATATTATTTATAGTTTCTATCCCCACCATCTAATTGTTTGCTTCATTTAAATGGCCGTTTCCACTGGAGACTGCCTGCGGCCATGCCAAAACCAGATAAGGTTCTAATTGTTGAAAGAGTAATTGAGTCCTTGGGACTCCAACCAGTGAGGGATTCTCTAGTTGGAACGGTAGAGAGGAGGGGCATATCTGGAGGGCAAAGAAAACGTGTTAATGTAGGGGTGGAGATGGTGATGGAGCCTTCGTTATTAATCTTAGATGAGCCTACAACTGGTTTGGACAGTGCATCTTCCAGTTTACTGCTCAAAGCGCTTCGACGTGAAGCCCTTGAAGGGGTAAACATATGCATGGTACTTCACCAACCAAGGTATTAATATTTATTTTTGGTCAAGTACACTTATAATTACAACCTACTATAGTCAAACATATTCTAGAGAATGAATAATGCACTCTTGAGCTTCTTTACATTCTAAGTTTTTCATTTGAGTTGGAAGTGTTCTCTTCACATATTCCAATATATATTTTCATATCTTAAATGTTTTGATTTTGTTGTTTTGCAGCTATACTTTGTTCAGAATGTTTGATGATATAATATTTCTGGCCAAAGGTGGCCTTACTGCATATCATGGTCCTGTTAAAAAAGTAGAAGAATACTTTGCTGGCATTGGAATCCCTGTACCAGATCGTGTGAATCCTCCAGATCATTTCATTGACATTCTAGAAGGTTTAGTGAAACCAAGTTCAGGTGTAACTCATGAACAACTTCCTGTCAGATGGATGCTTCATAATGGATACGCAGTACCACTGGATATGCTTCATTATGCTGCTGAAATTTCTGCATCTTCATCTGACTCAAAAGCAGCTGAAGCAACAAAGGGTACTGAGGAAGCTGCTGAAAAATCCTTTGTTGGAGAGTTTTGGGAGGATTTGAAGAGTAATATTCAGACTCAACGAGATCGCATAGAGGCAATCTTCTCAAGAACGAAGGACTTATCTAACAGGACAACTCCTGATGTAACCCGGCAATATAGATACTTTGTTGGCCGGTACGAAATCCTATGAATTTTATTTTTATTTTTGTTTTTTTTATTGGAGTACACAAATCCTATGAGTAAGTATAGATATAATTGCTCATAAAGCCAATTAACCAGTACTGCTGAATTTCTTGTTTGTTCTAATCAAGCTTAGCAGCTCTGTCTTCTGATAAGAAATAAATTTAATGTTAGATGAAAGTTTTACATAATACATAACTTAGCAGCTTTGTATGTTTTGTATGCTCATACGTGTGTATTTATGTAGATATATAGATAATTGCCTAATGTAAAATTTTCAGCATGCATAATACGATATATATCTTTTTTGAAAACTACTTCATAGCTTATTTTGAGGGAGTTGTTTATCCTTATTGGACTGTGAGGAATAATTTATCATGTCTGTTAAAGATATATAAAAACCATTAATGTAACCTCACCCACCAGCTTAAATTTTTGGGTTGAATTGATTCTTTACATGGTATAGAGTCGCGGAGTCTCGGGTTCGATCCTCATCACTCTCCATTTTCTTTATGGAATTTCTTAGCACAGGTAAATTGTGCCCGATGCATCATCCACCTTTCAAGCCCAATGAGCTGGCTCTCTTGTGAGGGGACGTGTTAAAGATATATAAAAACCATTAATGTAGACTCACTCACCAGCTTAAGCTTTTGGGTTGAATTGGTTCTTTACAAATGATTAATTATTAAGGAAGTTCATTCCTTTCAGGATTGGCAAGCAGCAGCTGCGAGAAGCAAAATTACAAGCAGTCGACTATCTCCTTTTATTGGTTGCTGGTGCTATCTTAGGAATTCTTACTAAAGTGAATGATGAAACATTTGGGTCCCTTGGCTATACATATACTGTCATAGCTGTCTGTAAGTTTAAAAGCTCACTATTGAATTATTGTATGTTGATTCTAGAAATGAAATCTATCGTTACCTTTTTGGGTGTTTTGAACCTCTTAATTTTAGGTTGGTTATCATTTTAAGAAACTTTTGGTCTCACAACTCCCTAGAAAGAAGGAAAATTTGAAGATTATTTTATATATCACTAGATAAAGGTTTCCATTTGTATCTAATTCCCTTATTCATATTACATATTTGCAGCTCTACTTTGCAAGATTGCAGCTCTGAGATCATTTTCTCTAGATAAATTACAATACTGGAGGGAGAGTGCAGCTGGGATGAGCAGTCTGGCACATTTTCTGTCCAAAGATACAATTGATCTTTTCAATACAATCATCAAACCATTGGTTTATCTGTCCATGTTCTATTTTTTTAGCAATCCAAGGTCAAGCTTTGCAAGTAATTATATAGTTTTGCTTTGTCTTGTGTACTGCGTGACTGGCATGGCTTATGCATTAGCCATTTTCTTTGAGCCTGGTCCTGCACAGCTGGTAAGGATCCTATCAATGAACTCACTGCATCTACACATTTTCTTACATGGTATTGCTGATAAAAACTGCACCCTTTTTTTTTATGGCCTTTTATGTTACTTGTAGTGGTCAGTGCTTCTTCCAGTCGTTATGACTCTCATTGCCAACCAGAACAGAGATACTGCATTTATGAAGACTCTTGTACAATTTTGCTATCCAAAATGGGCTTTGGAGGCCTTTGTCATTGCAAATGCTGAAAGGTCTGTTTTAACCAGTGACTTACTTCTCTTTCCCTAATAATTTGTTTATACTATGACTAAAAATCGACGACGAAACTCTCTAAATAAATTAAACACAAAGACTTATTATTTAAACTGACTCCTTAAAGTGTTTTTATTTTAATTATTATTTGTATAAAATTTAAAATCAATTAAAGATTATGTAAAAAACTGTCATGTCATATTTTCTCTTTAAAGTTTGAAACAGCATCACTACTTCACGATTGCCTATTTAGTATGTATTAAGTTCCATGCTGAGCTAGCAGCATAAAATAATTGGAAAGGGCCTGGTTCATGAATGAAAGAATAGCTTAGTCAAATAACTAATTCATGCTATAATGTCCAATGCGGTTTAACATGAATAAAACTTGGCGACTCATAACTTTTATTGGGAAAGTTTCACATGTAACATGTTCGGGCTAACGGATCCGATGCTATAGATTTTGGGTATAGGTATTTGGTTGAAATGGAATGCCTTACTTTATTGTTTTTTTTTTCTTTTAAAAAAATGAAAACACAAATTTTTTCATAAATGATGAATATATTAAAATAGGGATACATTATATTTACAATATTTTAGTTTACAAATTACATTATGTAACTTGGATAGTACATGCTCAAGTAGTATGTATTATTCGTGTTGACTAAAAAAAAAAGTATATACTACTCGTAGTACATAATGTAATTTATAAACAAAAATTTTATAAATATAATATCTACTCATTAAAATAAATTAAATATAGGATGCATTGTTAATGTTCGAAAATTGATTCAAGTTTTAATCTTTGCCATATAAAATTTTCAATCTGGCTCTTCTCTCAGGTACACTGGAGTGTGGCTGATAACTCGTTGTGGTTCGCTTATGAGCAGTGGCTATAATCTCAGCGAATGGCCTATTTGTCTAGTTGCCCTCATTTTGTATGGTATAGTGGCCCGATTTGTGGCCTTCTTTTGTCTGGTGATTTCCCAAAATAAATGATTTAGGAGATTTGATATTTCGATTGTGATTCTAGTGTACAAATCATAGTATATCATATGTGACGCAAGATTCAGTCCACTAAGTAGGATTAGATGTATAGGTGTCGTTACCGTTTTAGGTTTTTAGGTAAAGTTTTTGTTCTAGTGATGCCAATTTTTGTGTAAGTAAATTTTACTCTGTTCTCCCCCTTCTTCCCGGGATAAATGGTATTTAGTTTGAGAAATTTTTTTACTATAGCAAAAGATACAGTGTAGAGCTCTCAAACATGGTCATGGATAGCACGTTTGACATTTGCTTCCCTTTAGTAGGTCTTGTAAATACTACTATGGTAAATTCTTGCTCTCAATTGTAGGATTCTCCAACTTTGAAATAGGAGAGCTTTCCTTTCAATTTTCACACAACAGGCAAAAAAAATTCACTGCCAGTAGAATCAAAGACAAATTAGCAAGGTTTCAGCTGAAATTTGAAACTTGGATTTTATACTTGTTGGGTTGCTATTAGGGGTGTTTATCAATCGATCTAAACCGATTCAAACCACAATAACCGAACCGAAAAACCGATAACCGAAAATCGAAAAATCGAGAATCGAAAAAAAATCGTAAATTTTAATTGGATTGGATAAGTTTTCGGATGGGTTGATGAAAACCGATCCAATATATTAATTTTTCTCTACTTACTTGGATTTTTTTTTCTAATTATAGCCCAAGAATTTCTAAACCCCATACCCATTAACCCATCAACTAAACCCAAGAAAAAATTTATTCACATCTCATCAACAAAATTTAATTTGTGTAGAGCTTCATATCTCATTATCTAAAAAAAAATTATATTATTGTTTACTGATACTTTTCTATTTCAAAAAAAAAAAAAAAAATTTACAAAGCCTATTATACAAAAGATGTTATTTGCACAATAACCATGAAACAAATTTTAGGATTTTCAAAAAACCGAAAACCGATCCAATCCAAACCGAAAAAAATTGAATTGGATCGGATCAGATTTGAAAAAAAATCCAAACCGAATAAATGATTACATGATCAAACCGAAGGGATTGGATTAGATGATTTTTGCTTCCAAAACTGATCCAATCCAGACCGTGAACACCCCTAGTTGCTATTAACATAGCTGCTTATATATAAAATTGGAGTTTATCTGAGAAAATGTTACCTGGATCTGTTTGTGAAAAAAGATAAATAACATGATTTGCAGAAAATGTGTTACAAATGATAAGGGCAAATCATACTGACATAAAACAAAGTGGACTCTGTATTGGTATCTCTCTCTTTTATATAGGGTAGGTAAATAAATTATTTATATTCATTCTCAAAACGACATAATTTTGGGTGAAAAAATTAAAAATTTATAATAAAAAAACTGTTATAACTCTGAAATAAATTATAATTACAAAAATATCTTAATTTCACTTTAAAATAATGTCATTTTAGCAACGTGAAGCAACATTTTATAAACTCTCACATATTTTATAAATTGTATATAAAACCTCACATATTTGGAATCCGTGAATGAAATTCTCATCTGTCACATCATTCACAACGTAAGGAACTTGATGGCTGGAAGCATCAAAGTTTATCTTTTGCGGGGAGAGTCACTCTGGCTAAATCAGTGATTGGTGTTATTCCCTCTTTTCATATGCAGAATGGTCTTCTTCCCACTTCTGTGTGTGATGAGATTGAACAGCTTCAACGGAAATTCATTTAGGGTATTAATAAAGCTCATTTAGTGGCTTGGGACACAATGTATAAGCCGAAGGAAATGGGAGGTCTTGGTATTATCAGATTGCGTACTCAAAATGAGGCTTATATTCATAAGTTGGCCTGGAAAATCTTAACTGACAAGGAGGAGCTTTGGGTTAAGATTTTGAGAGCCAAGTATGGAAGAGGTAAATATTTGAGGCGTGAGATAAGCTCTAAGCCTTATGATTCTAAACTTTGGCGGGACCTTTCTAAATGTTGGAACAGTTTTTTAGCCGGTCTTCGATGGGAGGTTGGTGATGGAGAGACTATTAAATTCTGGGCGGATAATTGGTTGAATCTGGATGATAATCTTTGTAATTTAGCTCCTAATCACATTCCTAATCTGGAATTGCATAGAACCATTGTTGAGATCTTTCAGCATGGTACCTGGGATGTTCGATATTTGAAGCAATTCTTAAATGATGAGCTAATCTCTAAGGTATTTTGCGTTCCTATTGCTTTGGAAGATAATACTGAGGATAGGTTAGTTTGGTGTCAGAATCATGTGTCCTCTTCCTTAGTTAAGGTTGCCTACTTGAACTTGATGAATTTTCAACATGCTCAAAGGAATGTTCCCTGGAAGAAGATTTGGGACTGGAAGGGTCCAGAAAGAATCAAGACTATGATGTGGCTGGCTTTTCTTAATAAGCTTCCAGTTAGTAGTCGTACATGCAAATGGAATGTGGGTCCTAATTTTTGCATTAACTGTCTAAACAGTGAAGAAACTCTTATTCATGTCCTTAGAGATTGTTCTCAAGCCAAAAGATTGTGGATAGATTGGTTTGGTAGAAGGGTCCCCAACGATTTCTTCACATTAGACCTACAGCCTTGGCTCATAAAAAATGTGAGTAAGGGTTGGAATTATCAAATTCATGTTGATTGGAGAGATGTTTTCTATACTACTTGCTGGAATCTTTGGAATTGGCGTAATCATCATATTCATGATGATAGTTTCCGAAGGCCAAGCAATGATAAGCGTGTCATTTCTGATTTTATTGCGCATTTAATTGAAGCTAGAGGTAAGAATAGAAGCATTCTTGGCAGCTTCCCTAATGCCCATCAGCCTACTAAATGGTGTCGTCCTGAACCTGGTCGGTTGAAGATTAACACAGATGGTGCTTCTTCCTTATCTAGGCAGCATGCTAGCTGTGGAGGCCTTGCTAGTGATCACAATGGTGCTTTTCTGGGTGGTTTCTCTTTCAGATTAGGTTTCTGTAATCCTCTTGATGCAGAACTCTGGGGTATCCTCAAAGGCTTAGAGCTGGCCTGAGGTACTGGTGCTAGGAGAGTGGAGTTGGAATGTGACTCAGAAATTGCTCTTAGCACTATCCAAGAATGGAGCAACAATCACAGAAACTCTCAGGTTGTTTCCCGTATTCACAAATGGCTTGCTGAAGATTGAGATGTTCGTTGGGTACACACCTTTCGAGAAAATAACAGAAAATAACAGATGTGCTCACTGGTTTGCTTCTAGGCATTTTGAGGATGATAATAATCTTATTGTTTATCATTCTCCTCCTTCTCCTTTGTTAGAGCTCCTTCTTCAGGATGCTTCTATAGATCTTTTAAGTTCTCGCGTCGTGTAATTTTTGTTTTGTTTGGGGCTTTTGCCCCTCTTTATTACAAAAAAAATAAATAAAAATGGATGGGAGAGTGTACTTAAATGTTAAAAAAGAAAATTAATGTCACATTATTCTTAAGTTTTTGTAATTTTTTTTTTTTTTCAAGGAATGAGATTGTACTATACTATCAAAACCCTAGTGAACACATGGTAGTCGCTGATATTAACACTTGTAAAGCTTGGCAATTTGTATACTACAGCGCACGGAGAAATAAAAGAACAATGCAATATATGAAACCAGCGTTTCGAAACGGCTGCAACTGCTACACTTTCTCCCGCTTCTTAAACGTAAACCCTAACCCATTCATCCTCGTTTCGCTCCCGTCTTTGCCGTTTCTGAGACTCGAAACGTTTCGCCCGCCATCACCCGTTTCGTGCTTCTCCTCGTCGTCAATGGCGGGCAGTGACCACTCGGTGTCGGTGCCGCCATCGTCTCAGTCGCTGGAGGGACAATTCGAGATGTTCAGGACTCAGCTGGAAGAATCTGGAAGCTTGCGCGAGCGAATTCGAGGCGTCGTTTCGCAGATTGAGTCCATCACTAGGCTCATGTATGCTAGCCTCCTTCTGGTTCACCATTCTCGCCCCACTCCCGGTACCAAAACACCATGCTTCTTCGTTAACCCTAACCCCACCACTTTTCTATTTTTACTTTTTGGGGTCGGGGTGGATTCTGGGTTTCTCTTTTGTGCATTTGCAAATGGGTTTTTTTTTTCAAGGCTTGAAAGTTAAATAGAAAGCGTCAAAACCGAAACTTGTCTTCGACATTTTCAGGTTTGATGCAATTACATATAGTTAGTGATATTGATGTTCTGTTTGACTTCGCTCTTTTTGGGAGTTTTGAGACAACTGAATAATTCAATCCGTGTTGGATTTGGAGGGGTGAAGTGTATTATGTTTTGTTTATGCTTCAGTTTATTGAAGCAAGCAACTTATAGTTATAGTTTCTTTTTTGTTTTGTGTTCTCTCATTATCTCATACATGTATGGTTTTTTGCATTTGAATAGAGCTTTTAGAGAAGGCCAAGTCTCAGGTTAATGTGCTGAAGGAGCAGTACAAGCAACTTGCTGAAATTCTTGGAGGATGCCCCGGGCAATACTATAGGTGATTAAAGTTAGGAGGAACTTCTGTACTGTCTATCTCCTCTTTCGACAGTATTTTTGTGGTCTGTAATTTATCTTTGGTTCCATATAATCTTTAGGTATCATGGTGATTGGAGGAGCGAGACACAGTCTGTAGTTTCACTGCTTACTTTTATGCACTGGCTTGAAACAGGAAGCCTTCTCGAGCACAAGGAAGCTGAGGAAAAACTTGGGTGTATGTGTTTAATACCCTTTTGTGCTACTTATTGACATGTGGGTAGAGGTTTAATTTAATTTTTATTCTTTAGGTATGTATGTATGTATGTATGTATGTATGCATGCATATGTTGATGTCATCACTAATTGAATACATTATGAAGTCCTTAAGTTTCTAAGCAGTAGGAGTATGTGGGGCTCTGCATGCCATGTTGATAGAGTTTCATCGTTAGGAAAGTGTTGAAGTACCTAGCATGTACCAAATTGTAATCCGAAATTCCTAACATTTTATCTCTTGAACCCCTTAGAGGAATGGGGACAATAAATTCTTTAGCTTTTATTTGTACTAAACTTCTAAGTGAATACACAGAGGTTATAGTTGATAGATTATGTCAATTTATATGTTTATCTTCTATATGCACCATACCCATTCATGTCATATATGTGACTCTGAATTATTGGCAACAAAATGTACTCTCTACTTTATGCTCATTCGTTGTCATTATGAGATTTATAAGTTTTTTTATGTTTATTGTTAACAACTTTGCAGTGAATAGTTCAGAGTTTGGTCTAGATGTTGAAGACTACCTAATAGGTGAGTGTTCTAAGTATGTACTTTCATTAATTGTTTGGTACTGTGTAATGATCATTAGTTGAGATGAATGTGATCCTTTTCGTGCACTTTAGTTTTTTGAGGCTAGCTTCTTTCAGTGACTGCTGACCAATTTAAATATGATTAAGTCTGAGGAACATCGGTATAGCAGTTAGAATCTGTAACGATGTATGGATAATGATGATTCAATAAGACTTAAGGCACAGAAAAGGAAGAGAATAAAGGAAAAGAAAGTAACCAAGTCTTTATTGATCGTAAAGAAACAGAGTACAAGAGATTAAGGGGCTATTTGATTGTGTTCTGGTTTTTTTGTTCTTAAAACTGTTTAGTAGAATAGTTAATGAAATGTGTTTTCTGTGTTTTTTTTGTTTTGAAAGTAAAACTCAAAACACAAAACAAAAACAGCTTAGATTGTTCTCTAAATTTGATTTTAAAAACTAAAAAACTTATAATTTTTAGAACTATTTTTACAAAACAAGACTTATCAACAGTTTTTTTTTTTTTTATTTTGAAAATAAAAAACTGTTTTTGAAAACAGAATTCAAACAGGCCCTTCACAAGGGAATTCACCCCTTTTACACTGAGAGTCTCAGTTATTACACTATATACTCATCCTATTTCTTTACATACAGACCTTTCATATATTTAAACTATTGTCCTAACCAACTTTTAAATAACTAACTTCCTTGATTCCTAGGAATATTCTTGCGAGAATAAACCCTCCAAACTACTGGCTTAGAATTACTACCCGTAACAGAATCAGTATGGCTTTCAGGGCAAAGAAGCGCAATAACCAAATGTTATGTTTTACATATTTTGTCTTAAGGGGGTTACAGAATATGTTTAGAATTCATGATTCTTAATCTTTTCTCTTTGGTGTAAATAAGTCAACAAAAATCCTGTAACCCACATCTCCACCTTTTGATTTGGGCTAATAGGTCTAGTTTTTGTGAATCATAGACGATTGCATAGCCAATTATGATTTCACAGTTTTGCCACATAAACTGATATTGATGCATTTTTGTCATGCAGGTGTTTGTTTTATGTCTAATGAATTGGTAAAAACTCTCTTCTTCTTAACTGTTACATATCAACTTGTACAAAATGGAGGAGATATTCCATTACACTCGATGTTTTTAACCTTTTAGTCAAGAGGAATATAGACTGAGACGCATGAATGTGTGTATACATGCGTGTACACAGAGACAACAGATTATCAAACTTTTGTTATGTTTAAGGTAAAAGCATTGTGACAGTTTCACCCAATTTTGCAATATATTTGACTTTGCAGCCAAGGTATGTGGTGAATCAAGTGACAGCTGGGGACTATGATTGCCCAAGGAAGGTGTTAAAGTTCTTAACAGATCTCCATGCTGCATTCCGCATGCTTAATCTTCGAAATGATTTTCTGCGGAAGAAGTTTGATGGTATGCTATTGCTTGTACCTTGTTCTATACCTTATTTCTTTTCTTTCTGTTACTGTGTTACTGTCATCAAATAATGTTGCTGGCATTGCAGGCTCAATATTGTGAGAAAGATTGGTCTATTAACTGTAATGAGTAATGGCTTTAACATCACAGACTTGTTTTTATTTTATTTTATTATTTAAGTAAATAAAGACTTGTTTTTCTTTATTATCATCTGGCATCCATCCACTTACCCAGAAAAGAGGGAGTGGATGTGGATCCTCTCATGTGTTAATTAATATGATCATGTCATGTGAGAGAATCTTAACCATTCATAGGTAGATCAATTTTGATGATCTTGTCATTCCCTATTCTAATATTTTTTTCTCATTTACCATCACCATTGAGTCCATAAATGGTTAAAATCCTCCCATATGACATGGTCATGTTAACTAACACATGAAAGGATCCATTCTCCATAAAAGAAGAGTCATATGCATATATAGCAGTTGAGCATTTCTTTTGTGTCCCCCCTCCATCCCTTTTGTTATATATGAAAAGTAGGGTTTGCTGCCAATTTATTTCTTTTACATCTACCTAAATTTTCATATGCAAAAATTGCACATATTCTGTTCTAAGGAGTCGTAATCACTCGTACTATCTATTTGGATGGTCTCTTTTCACCATTGGCAGGCATGAAGTATGACCTAAGAAAAGTAGAAGAAGTTCACTATGATGTTAAGATTCGGGGTTTGACACCCAATGTTGAGTCAGTTGGAGATCAAGGAATCGAAGGATAATCTTAGGTTGTAATAGCCGCAGACCCAAAACGAGAACTTCAGTACATGGTGGTGGAGCTTCATTGACCACTCAACAAAATGACTTGATAGACTCGGCTTTCTGTTAACTAAGCTGTAACTAAAGTTTTCTAATGGTTGATGAAGGGAAGTAAAGGTTTGTCAGTACTGTATACAATTCTGTCAAAATCTGTGGCAATGACTCTTTCAAAGCCATTGGGAGAACTGAGAACCCTGTATGCCTATCTTTTTAGATGTAGAATATAGTACGTTGAAGTTTATTAATGCCTGTGGTGGGTTGAAAGGGGGGTTTTTAATTTCAATCTACATTGAAACAGTTGAAGTTTTTGCAAACTTTTTTTTTGTTTCTTTTGGCTAACAACGGAGTAGTCAATTCCTTGTTATAAAATAATTGTAAAAAGTTCCAGGTATATAAAAGAAATTGAGAGAAGAAATAGAGAGTAAAGGAGTTAATTTATTTATCTCCTTGACAAAAGGCACTAAAGGATATCAAGCGCGATTTACTCAAAACTAAACAATGTCTTATTAGTTCCGGGCCTCTTTATAGTCTAGTCCAAATGTTAATGACGAGTTTAAATTTAAGTGATGATAGAATAACAAATACACATTCACATATCAACAACACTTTTTCTAAGCCAAATTATCTGGTTATAAATTAAGGATTTTTATTAGGTATCCTAGGAGGGTTGGTACTTCGGCTTTGTAACCATTGGATTTTGAACGTAATTTTATTCAAAGTTAATCATATTCTATCCAATTATATTCAACAATCAGTAAGAATGTCAGCTGGTAGGATTATAGGATAACGAACTCTTGAGAGATATGGACGATTAATAGAAGTATAAATGCTTAAGAAATCATTGCGTATATATAACTAGTACTCATTTATATGATATTTAAGGGGGAATTTATTAGTTAAGATTTACTTCTCTACATAAGAATAAAACATTTTTTACGTGATTAGTATACACATGAAATACAGTAAATAACAATTCAAATCACTTATACACTAGAATAATTACATACCGATCGTTAATGTGGAGAGTGATGTAGTTTTGACGTAGTTTTTTTTTTTTTTTGGAGATATTTCAATAGATTTATTAAGGCTTTAATGCCCTCCCTGAAGAGGGTACTGAGGAGGATCTCACTTCATCTGCATCAACTGAGCTACCATCATTTGATAATGAATGAAATGGATGAATTCTTAGTTTGAATACTAAGGCAACAATTACAATGGAAAGGATAGTGTTATGGTCTAGAATCTGTTACGAACCTCGGAAAAATTTCATCCCAAAAACTAGTTATACTAAAACTTTATGTTTTTAATGTGAGACTCCAAGTATAAACCTCATACCATAATCTTATGTTTCCGATGTGAGACTCCAAGTCTCGTGTCTTTATTTTGATCAATATTGAATCATGGTAATATTATGGATACTTGTTAGAAGATTGTTGTTCACGTTTCATATCTACATTCTTATCATGGAAATATTGAATTAGGAAACAGGCTGGTAGTTATTTTTAAGAGTAGAAATCATTTATTTTGAGCAATGAAAACATTGAATGAAACAAAAAACAAGGTTCATTCATTTCTTTGTGCAAGCAAACTGATATTACAATCAACGAAGTAACAAACGGTATACAAGGCAAGGGTATTAAGCTAGTTCTTAAGACAATTACATATATTCATAACACTCCACTAGAATCTACAACCTTCCAACCCAAAAGAAGAGCCCTTACACCAGCAATTTGTACATCTTATACCAAGTTAACCATATACAAGATAACCTTGGACTATATTATAATAAATAATTACGCTTAATAACTTGCCAGCTTGAACAAAGAGCCCTATTATTTAGAGCAACCCATACTTGATATCCCCATGATATGTAGCTCTCATGCATGGACTATTATATGTTTGAACTTGCCATCTTCGTTTCTAATTCCCATCATTTTCTTGAGAAGTTCCATCCTCGTGGTTGTAGTTTTCTTTAGGCTTGTCATGGTGGCTAGCACTTTCAACACTGTTTTTTGGGTAATTGGCATTGATATTTGCTTTTTCAATGCTTTCTATCACTTTTTTCCCTCCAACATGGTTTCTCTGCTCTTGGCCATATATTCCACCTAGCCCTGAGGCCTTTGATTCCCCCAAGAGAGAGGTCACCACTATAATTGCAAGGAAAACTGCTAAGAGCTTCATCTTGAAATACTTTAGCTTATGTGTTTTCTAAAAGTGCAAATGAAGGCTTGCGTATACTATAGAGAGAGAATTGGCTTTATGTACCATAGATGTCAATTATATTAAATCATTGTGGGTTTGTCAAAATATGAAAAGGGTACGTGGGTTTTCACATAATTTCACTAGGATTTTATTTTTCAAATTCATGCAATCACAATCGAGGCAAATCTTCTTAAACGATAAGCATGGAGTAGGATAATGGTAATCTTTTGGCAGCATATGGCTTAGCCTCTCTAGTGCTGTAGATTTTTCTCTCTCTGTTTTTCTTTGTTTATTGTTCTAAAGAGACAGTAGTGGGCTTAAGATTTGTTTTTATTTTTAACTTTTTTGTATAATATACTCTTAAGGATTACCCTTTCATTTTAAATGGAATAAAATATTAGTTGACTGTAACGTGAAAGAATATTCAAATCCACTGCAATTATAAGATGCCAAATGCCAATGCATAATTAAACGCATATCTTTCACATATTCTTTTTTAAAAAAGCAGAGATATTGTAAAGAATTAGTGATAGATTGAGTCAACGAGATTACAAAACACATCATATTTTTACAATATAATAACCATTTATTGTGACATACATTATCATCCTCTAAATAGAAGATTAGGTACGGGGGCTCAGGAAAGAAAAGGATACCTATGTGCTGCGGATCTAAAATTTTTTTTGTTTATGTCTGCATATTTAGTAGCAGAGATTGGAGGCAATGTCCTAGGAAAATTTTTACTACTGTTTAAAAATAATATTTTTCTGTAATTTTTTCTTAAAACTCCCTGCAAATTTTTCAACATAGATAAAACTTACATAAAAAATACAATATTAAATTGTTCTAGTATTTACCAGGCTATTGTTCTCCATAAATTGATACACCAATATTTGATGACTATCCTCAACACAGCAGCCGATTAATTCCACAAGATTTGGATGTCGTATATTTGATATCATATCAATTTCCGTCATAAATTCATGGGTTCCCTAGAGAGACTTGATAGCAACTTGAGTTCCATTCCTTAAAACTCCCTGCAAATATTATTGAAAAAGCAGCAGAACTTTTTTTTGTGTGTCCGCAAGTGCGGACATTAAGCCCCTATGTGGCAATTTTTATTTCACAAAAAAAAAAATGTAAAACAAAGTGGGGAAATCCTAATACTTACGAAATAAATTTGAGATGTTAGCTTCAAATAAGAATAGGAAAAAGTGTTTGTCCTTTTAAATGACACAATCCGTATCATTTCACTCTTACAAAGAGGTGAGACCCACATCTTTATATTTTTCTGTCCACTCTCTCGTTCTTTATCTATATTTTTCTCTCACTTAAAATGACAAAACTTTATATCGTTTAAAATGATACACATTTGTTCTATAAGAATAACATTGATAATGCAGAACATCCCATTCACCATAAAACTTATGTAATTGGAAGTCCAAAATGAGCTTCTATCTTCTAATGCCTACAATTCTGTCTTCCGTTACAGGATACACTGCACACAACTTAAAGAACAGACAATCACGTTCTGAAAAATTATTTTAAACTCTTTGTATGGAATGACATTGAAAGACTAGAATTTTTTTATTTTTTTATTCTTTTTCAAGAGAGAAGTAGTTATTATTATTTAGTTTAGCCCAAGCAGATTCGGTTCAGTCATCAAAATATCTGAAACCAAGGTTTGCACAGACTCAACCGACAGGGAACTAAGTTTTAAATTTCAAACAATTCTGGCCAAACCAAATTCCAAAAGATGCGTGCAGAGGGGCATTGCTTCCCAAAAGGAAGCATGGAGAGTAATAAATAGAGGAATGTGGGTGGGGGCACTTAGGAAGAAGTAGGATCAAAATGATAATGTGACCTGGTGCACCAACTCATGTGAACAGAGAAATGCACGTGGAAGGGGACCAAAGCAAGTCAAATCAAATAATTTAGAGGGCTAGTGATATGACCCTCAATCATGCAGGCAGTGGAGGGAATCTCGGAGAAGAACAAGGAGACGTGGTAGAGGACGATGGCACCGTTGGGAGAGAAGAAGGAGACCAAGTCATAAGAAGGGAAAAGAGGGTCAGAAGGAAAGCTAGTTGGACAAGAGACTTTGTCATAGGGACACGTGGGTAGGGAAGTGGCAAATGGAGAGAGAATGACTCACCTTAGTGTCATTAGGGTCTTTGGGCTACGGCTAGGGTCCTTGGGCTACAGCCAGACCAAATTATGTTAGTAGTAGTTCTAATATGGTAATGGGCCTTGATCCTTTATCAGCCCAATCACCAACTATCAATTTGTAATTGCTTTAAATAGCTGGAGAGGAATATGGTGTAGGTGTTCAATGACTGATAACCGAATTCTCTTCTTTCCTTTGTAATTTCTGGAGTTGCCGGCAACCTCGAATTGCCGTTGTTTCTTGCTTAATACAATTTCTTTCAGTATTTTTCTAAATTGTATTTGGTGCTTATCATTTTGGTGCTTTCATTGAGAGGCAACTTCTGACGAAACCATGGCAGAATGAACTCGTAGTAGTGTGAAGCAAACAACAATGGAAGAATGTATAAACCGACTGACACGTCATGAAGAGCAATTTAACTCGCTGGGTGATCTGTTGAAAGAGAGGAACATGAAACTCGCTTTAATGGAAGCCAAATTGGACCAAAATCAGAAACACAAAATCAAAACAGAAACCACATCTAGTGAAGGATTGGGAGTATTTTTTGACAACAATGCTTTTAAATCAGTGAAAATCACCATACCTCATTTTGCAGGAGGCAATCCTAAGCCTTGGATCCACAAAATTCAGCAGTTCTATGGGTTTTATTCCCTCACTGACGTCGAGAAATTCACCCTCACGTCCTTCCACATGGACGGATCCGCAGAGGAATGGTATCATTGGATGGACCGTAATGGGCGGTTGATAACTTGGGATCATTTCGTGGCAGCTTTGCGTGCTCGATTTGGACCCTCGCGTTATAGAGATCTGAGAGGTGAGCTTGGACGCCTAACCCAAGTGACCACCGTAACTGAATATCAAGCTCAATTCGA